AGAGAGAGAGAATTTCTTATAAATGAGCGATTCGTATTCTGACGACAGATATAATTATTTTATGCCAAACTGACAGACTTTGCTCCGCTATCCATGGTTACATCTTCGAAAACACCAACGCTGATGATAGACCAATCAGAATTGAAAGACCGCTTGTGTTTTCGCGATTACACACGTTGTGATGTTATTGATCAGATTATGTAATAAATGAAATCAGTATATTGTTTAACGAGCACGGAAAGATAGTGATTTCCTACGAGAAAGAAGTTTGCAGCATGAGCCGTATTGGCGAATGCTGTCATAATTTTTCTACGGCTATAATAGATAACAGCGACATTTTCGATTTCTTTGTCTGCCAAGTAATGCTCATCTATTAGACAGCGATGTCATTACTTCACATTTGACATTCCATGAGCGATGAGATTTTTTTGAAATAATAACACGATGGAGTCATTGTGATATCAGATACGGAAATAATATTGATGATATACAAAGCACCTCATTGACGTATCGAACACAGTAAAACAAGAGCAATTGTGGGTTATAGCCGTAGAAAGGTTTTACCCCTATACATATTCTTGGGTCTGTAAATCTTCTATGGTATTGAACATTGCAAACATTCGAACTTTTTCCATGTTCAGCATTTGAAAAATAAAGTGACATCTTGAGTGCAAGAATCACAGGTCACATCATGAAATAAAAAATAGGGCACTACAATTTCGATCAAGAACTAACATTTCAAATCATCAAATAAATCAGTGTTATAGTGGTACTGTGCTTTTTCTCGTTCGCTCTTTTTCTGTAAATTTTTACTCAACAAAAATGTACAAAAAATCGATTTACATGAATACAGTTGGAAGTACTGTTTACTTCATCAGTCAGGTCGAAATTGAAAATTCATTCGAACGTTTTTGTTTCATATTTCTTCATTGAACCCGTCAAAGTGTCGGGCCCTGAAAATGAAGAGCAGTCCTTATGGCATTTCGTCAGATCTTTCTGAATCTGATAAAAATTCTCGCGAACAGTGATCACAAAGTGAACTCTTTAGAGTAAAACATGAATTTTTCCTATGTCCAGATCTGGATTTTTTCCATGAGGTGCCATCTGGAACAGTTTCGATAGAGAAACGTAGCTGCAAAATTTCAGCAAATCACGATGAGTCATTTCTGAACTACATCGTAGTAGATGGATTTTTTTTTCATATACAGCGTCCCACACTTGGAAAAACGCGTTTCTCTTTCTATATCTTAGTTGTTGGTCGTGCGATTTTTACCAAATTCGGACTGGTATTCTGTATCTGGGGTTCTATTAAAATAAAACGGGGTCGATTTTTCATGAAAAGGCTTCTTTCAACAGGAAAACGAACCTCATAATATTGTTCTTCATCGTTATAAGAATTTTCACATGAATTCTATGGAGGGTATCAGCATCAGCATGTTTGCGAACGTAAATTAGTATTCTATGCAACGATCACGAGTAGTGATTCACACGAGACCAACGAGACGAGACTTTCATAAAGTCTCGTCTCGTCTCGCCAATAAAATATGAAGTCTTGTCTCGAGTCTCGTCTCGCAGCCCCGAGTCTCGTCTTGTCTCGAGTCTCGTACGAGAGTCTCGCAAAAGTATCGCAATTTCGTCATGCATAATCTTGTTCCAGTCTAGTACGGGATATTTACCTTTACCTACTTTTTAGGTATAATGTAGAAGTAGGAAGAGAAAATTTCAACAAAAATAACATTATTTATTGAAAAGTAAGTACCTAATAGGTACATACTTACATCATACATCTGAACAAGAAGAAAAAACATAGCATTATATTTTCGAAAGTGATGAGAATAAAATAAAAAGTAACACGTATGTTCTAAACAAATAAACAAAACAAAAACTTTAATCCAACATTATTTTACTTATTTGAGAAATGGGTATCTAAGAAAATAGTAATTTGTTTTACTAGGCAGAAAAGTAGTCAACCTACATTTGCTGCCGTGTGAAACATAGAATTTCTTCTCCAAATGATATAAAACCATTTTTGTGTATTTTTTTTTATTGAAAACTCCATCATTTTGTGTTCACCCAATGTCAGTGTCGATATTGATTACTAATTTCATTAGAATTTCTTGGAACGTTGCATAGCAAGAAACTTTTTCTGCTAAGGCAGTAAAAGTACACCTTTTCTGCCTGTTAAGCGGCAGGAAAAAGCCACTTTCCCTGCCGATTGGAGAAAAAAACCTTCATCAGTCAGATCAGCCTTCACGATCGCAATTGTTTTTGTTTCTCACCCAGTCGTTAAGACATAACAAACATCATGCAGATTCATTATTAAGGCGATTCCGATGTTTTCTTATAGAATTCTTTCTAAATATGTTTTATTATGAATGAAATTCTCAAGTCTGCAGTCGGCATGCAGAAATATTTACCTGCGAGACTCTCGCACGAGACACGAGAAGTCTTGCACGAGACTCGAGACAAGACCAATAAAAGTCTCGTCTCGTCTTGTCCGAGTCTCGTCTCGAGTCTTGTCTCGAAAACGAGACGAGACCATGCGAGACTCTCGAAAACGAGACTCTCGCGGGCACCACTAATCACGAGGAAACCATGTATATGTTCAATATCATGATAGTTTCATGCACTATTTTTTGTAGGACCACAAGTCGGAAGTGACAACTTCGATGGCCCGTATAGTATTTCCAATTTTTTTTAGACAATACGGGGAAATCTGAATGAAGTTATATCAATATAAAAATATTGATAGAGAAATTTGACATTTGCGACTAAGAACTTCCAAATTGCATCTCATCAAAAGTATTCATTACTCAACCTGTGTATCATAAATGATGTGAATGATTTTCGTAATCCGAGCGAGAACACAATATGATCAGATCGACTATCGGTGACTTCGATGCATGTATTACGCTATTCAAAACTCGAGAACATATTATATAACCGCCATCGCATATCAACATAAATAGATATTTTGAATTGACTCGGCCGTACCAGTATACCACCTGACGAAGCTACTGTATTAGCGAGACATATCGTGTGTTTGAGAATTTTGTGGAAATCTCATCGTTTGTGGTTTTCACATAAATAGATATACCTACACTGGTACGCGTGCTTCCATGACGCCAGTCTGCCGGTTTACTCTCATCCCAGAAAGTGCCTAACTGGCCTATAGAAATTATCGCTCCAAAAATCAATTAATATCTCACTATTCATATTTCAGCATTCTCCAACATCATAAGTACATGAATTGCATGAATTTTTGACGCATTCACGTTGTCATTATGTTTCATTTGGAATTAAATGTCAAACAACTCAAGCAAGTGAGATAGAAACATATATACCCACTTGATTATACCCAAGTACTACGTGTTTTTATGGGCCAAAAATGTGTTATCATGATGAAAAGAACGTGTCTTCATTGGTTTAGATCTGTATCATGATAGAAATCCGAGATAATTAATTCGCTTCTTATAAAATGGGAGTAGGAAAAATTATTCATTCGGAAAAGATGAGTTCAACAAAAAAAGTGTTATGTAAACCATAATTTTCTACCTATACTGGTTCTATTGAACGTTCCAGAATTTGCGGTTAATAATTATAATTCCTTATTTATTCGGGGCTGATAATGAAGAAAGAAATTTGACCCATTCTATAGTATTTTGAAATTATTGAATTTTTGCACATGGAGGTTCGAAAACATGAGTAACATACTGTAGCTCCTACAAAAAATCCTGATTCATGAAACCCATTTCAATTTCAATAAAAACGCACGGTACTGTCCATAATGATGTTTCTTTTCCTAAAAACTAATCATATCAATGGAAATTCATACTAGTCCAAATTTGGTAAGAATCGCACGATTGATAGCAATAATAGCTGAGATATAGAGGAGGGGGGGTGTTTGAAGTGAGACACGCTGTATATAATTATATACATACATATATCAATTCGTCTTTTCCCCGTTCTGCTGTTCACCATTTGGCTATCTGAGTCTCCCCATGAATCACAAAAACCTGAACTTCGAAGTATATAAACACTCGAAACACTCGCGAAGTCTACCGCTACCGCAATTGGTCAAAAAGTTTATTTCACGAATCCCATTATAGGCGATATTTTCTATATAATACAAAATATCTTCTCTACCCTTGAAAGTCTCTACTTATGTGGAATTCGCCGCTTCAAAAAAAGTCTCTATATCGTCAACCGAAATGCGGCTCGCCCTTTTGCCGACAAACGTTTCACCTCGCACCTATGACATCATCTGATGTTTTTATTTATCATTTCGGAGAGCAGGATTCACGGACATCGACATCGTGCTATACTTCCTTACTGGAATGCTAAAATTATCTTATATAATCCCCATTCGATAATATAAAATAATGTATGGATAATGTGGACAGTATAAAAGTTCCCAAGGAATAGGATGAAGAAACAGAAATGATGAAAAATGATATAGATAGCTGGAGTACAAACGTAAATGTATCCTACTTTTTGAATCACACTGGTAAAATCTCAAAAACGCAAAATAAGCCTGTATTCCAATATTGAAACACAGTTTGCAGCATTCTCCGGTGAGGACGCTAGGAATCGGTGTCGAAATGTTGGAAAACATGGGACCGCGCGCCCCCACTTTTCTCCCTCTAAAAAATTTTTTTTCCCGAAACAAAAAATACTGGGCTCTTCACGAAGGATGAACGGATGTTTCTCTGGAAGCGGATTTTGAGTTTTTGTCTTAGTTTTTTTCAAAAAAAAATTCTGAATATACTCGAAAAATGCAATGTTCATGATTTTTTTGCAGAATATCGGTGAATTTTTTCAAAATTCTGCTTCCAGAGAAACCTAGATATTTCAATTCTTCATCTCACCATATTTTTTGTTTTCCGAAAAAATCAATATTGAACAATGAAAAGTGGGGGCGGAGAAAACATGTTTTCATTGCACTGATGCATGGTGTATCCTCCTCTTAAGCAAATATGCAAGGCAATAAAATTCCTCCATGATTCATAAAATTTTAATTTCCAACAATATGATATAGTTTTCTGTAAAAAGGTAACTATGAATATAAACAATATTCAAATTCAACAATTTCAACAAAACGTTAATGAAGAAAGTATGGCACTAAAGGATTGTACCAAAAATATACAAAATGTTCACTTATATAAATATTGAAAAATTGGAATGTTATTTGAATGGATGTAAAATGACAAGAATTAAGGTAAGACTGATTCACCTGTACATTGATAATATGATTATTATTATTTTTGTTTTTGTATAGATATAGAATTTGTTAGTAATTTCCAACTACCTACTTTGATAATATTACATAACAATTACCTACATCACAATCTATCAAACAATTTTGCTAAAAACAGTAATAATAAATAATAAATAATTACTGAATATACATAAGTATATGGAACCAAAAAATATCACAAGTTGCATGAAAGTACATTTTTCTCTACATTCGGTCCTTATTCAATCTATTAGAAACTAGTTTTTACAACTATATACAAAAAAATCAGATAATTCAATTGATATAACTCTGGTTAATTTGAAAAGGCGCCCAATTTTTTGATATATTTATAAACATCTCGTGGTTGACATTTAGCAAACAATCAATAATTCAATAATTTGAATATCAGTATATACTTGTGGAGATGAAGAAAAATCAACTAGTATACTTACAGATAGGAGCCCATGTTTTCATCTATAGCCAAAATAGTATAAATAAATTTTTTTAAAGTTTTTCGAGCATAGGTAGACCAAGCGATTCGGGAATATCAATGTCTTCTAAGCATATAACGGAAGGATTGAAAGGAAAACGTACAGGAAATTTGTATTTGACATCCATCAGCAAAGCCTGAAACAAAACAATACATTATTGACATTCAGTATGTTTTTTTTTTATAAAATCGATCAAATATTGGTTGAAAACATTAACAAACAGTGATGTGTAAAACTTGAGATAATGGAGAAGTTTCCATTATTGTGGTTTTTATCTCACTGCGAAGTACCGTATATTAATTTTACATTACATTTCACATTATTGACATTCAGTATGTTTTTTTTTTATAAAATTGATCAGATATTAGTTGAAAACATTAACAAACAGTGATGTGTAAAACTTGAGATAATTGAGAAGTTTCCATAATTGTGGTTTTTATCTCACTGCGAAATCTGTACCGTATATTTAAAAAAAAATGAAAAAGGAACTTGGCCCCTTCACCATTCCTTCAACGTACTTATAACGTAATGAAGAGCCACATTCACACAGAATTAAAATAGTGTAACAAGACGAAAAGTAACCATTTTGAGTTGAATATACGTTATCTGATTCATCATTTTGTTAGCTTTCACGTGCTATACTGTAACAACTGAAAGTTTCAGTACTGATCAAGAGATGGTGCTAGTTACTCTACAAAACTGAAGAAAACTTCATTTCCATATAATTTCATACTGTAATAACTCGATACAAGAATAAAGATTTGTTACAGTTTTGAACTGTGAAATATTTTCAACACTCAAATAGTTATTTATGTAATAAGGATCATAAAGACGATCATTATGGTACAAGTCGTGAATGTTATCGGGCGAGGCGTAGCCGAGTCCGATAACACGGCGTGTGCCATAATGATTGTTTATGATTCGTATTACATACAAAATTTTATCTGATGGCATTTATATCAATACATTTTCGAAAAATTAAGAACTGCATTTTCGACATGTCACAATGACAACTATTTTTAAAGGAGTAAGTATTGTGTAGTTTCAAATATTAGTAGGTGAGTGAGCTGTGCTTTGCCATTATATTAATATTACAAATTGTAGTAATTGTTCTTTTACCATTTATAATAAATAGTTTTGTACATAGTTATGCATTTTGAATAAACTTTTTTGATCAAACCATTACATGTTTTCCTTATAGAATTTCATTATGGTACTTATAGTCCCATAATGAGCTTCCTTATGTCATCAAAATTGAGTGACATAACGTTGTCATTATGACATGCCATCAGATAAACAAACTTATGTTACTATGGCATATCATTGTTACTGTAGTGATTGTAGTTATAGTACTTACCTACTCCTCTAATAAGAATGATGAGTTTTAATCACAGCGCTTAATACTATCAATTATTATATAATTTAGATGAATAGTGTAACAAGTTCTAACAAAATAATTTGTTCAACAAGTTTTTTTTCTAAATTTGTTGATTTCACGAAGTGAATAGAAAACTACTGTGGCAGGGCTGATATTGTATATTTATACACAATGTGTGCGATTTCAACCCGCAACATCCTCCTAATTTGGAACATGTCGATGACTGATTTTCAAAAACAAAAATTCCATAATACATATAGCACTCAACGAGCTCTATTCGAAAAACTCTAGAGAGATCTTCCTTTAGAAGTTATGGAACTTATGTATTGGATGTGTTCCTCTTCACCGGTTATATCAACTCCTTAGATTTTGATACAGGATATATCGAAAAATAAAAAATATAAACATTTGCCATTGAATAACTAATACCCTATATGAGATATTGCGTCCAAATTTCGTATGGGTGTATTTCAGCTATGCTTGAATCAAATAGGAAAGTCACTGTTCCGAAAAAAAATTCATAATAATAGTCGTTTTTGAAATTGCGACCCCTTCAACAAACAAGTTGAAAATCTGAATATTTCCACATTTGTCCACATTTTCGAATAGAGCACGTTGAGTAGCATATCATGGAATTTTTGTTTCTGAAAATCGGTCGACGGGTTCCGAATTAGGAGGGTGTTGCGAGCTGAGATCGCACACACTGTATATACAGGGTGATCCACGGTGGCTGGCCTGTTAGAAGTATCTGGCGAACGAAGAGACAGAACATTCTGAAAATTGGGATGCTTCGATAATTGAACATTATCTATCCGTCTAAAATACTTTCATCGATACAGTGTTGCCACTTCTATCAGAAACAACTAGTAACTTATTTGTTATTTCAAATAGAACAGCCTGTATTCTATTGCATTTTTAGATTCTTCCTGAAGAGCTGATTCAATCAATGAATCACACTTGGGGTCTAGCAGGAATGATTACAGAGATATTATAGGGTATTGAAAATCGGGATTTTTCAATTTTAGGATTTTTTGTGTCGGAACTATTCATTATCAATCAAAACGGCTCACAGGTCCGTATCTCAACTTCTGATTCAATATCTATTGGAATTTAGTTGGAAAAAATACAAGGTGCTTCAAGAGTCAGAATTCCGATCACCCTGTATCTGCTCCAATTAAATGTCAGTAGATACTGAATCGAAAGTCAAGATAGGGACATGTAAGCCGTTTTGATCGATAATGAATAGTTTCGACACAAAAAATCCTAAAATTGAAAAATCTAGATTGTGAACACCCTATATCTCTGAAATCAATCCTGCTAGACCCCAAGTGTGAAGCATTGATGAAATCAGCTATTCAGGAAGAAGCTAAAAATGCAATAAAATACAGGCTGCTCTATTTAAAATAACGAAGTTGCTAGTTATTTCTGATAGAAGTGGCAACACTGTATCGATGAAAATATCTTAGACGGATAGAGAATATTCAATTATCGAAGCATCGCCCAATTTTCAGAATGTTCTGTCTTTTCGTTCTCCAGATACTTCTAACAGGCCAGCCACCGTGGATCACCCTGTATTATACAAATTTAGATTCAAATATTATTATGACTTGAATTTTCAATTGCGATTTTCTCGAAACTACGATTTTTGAGATGTTACAGGGTGTTCCCAAAAGGTCTGTATGGAATCTCAGCACATATTATTGAGGTAAAAATAAACCGATTTAAAGCAACTTACCTCAGTCCAAAATTGCTCCGTTTCCGAGATACAGGGTGGTGAATATAAAAAATAAAAAGTACCTACACTCCAAGAAAGTATTTTTTTAAATCCATTTTTCAACTGCTAACTCTGGCCAAATCACATTCAAAAAAATAGATAACAGCAAACATTTTTTATTCAAAATAATTTAAATATTCCGGTGGTGCTTCAAACATTAAAAACCGAAATATCTTGAAATCGGCTTACTTTAGCGGATTACCACAATAGTATCTTTTTTCATAACAATATTCAGAAAAATATTTCCTCAACCAATAAAGTAAGAAACTACTCTGATAAAAAAGTTATGGCCATTCTAAACCATAAGAGGTAAGGTAAGCGCCCTCTATTGGCCACAGTGAAAAGATGCTTGTATTCGTGTTTCGCATTCTGAAAAAAAACCCAAATATCAATTTTTCAAGGAATACGTTGAAAAATGTTCATAAATTCTGAGAAATTCGATTTTTATCCTCTTAATTTTTCCATCCTGTGTCTCTGAAACGAAGCAGCTTCGGAATGGGGTAAGTCGCTACGCGGCATCGTGCTTAATATCACACGTGCGAAATGTGTCACTTTCCACACTAGTTATGTAATATACTGTCACCACTATGTATATCTCAAAAGAATCTATTAAAAACCATGCTTGGGAAAAAAGAACATTTCCTTCAGAACAACTATTCTATGAAGCGGAAGTCCTGGCAATTAAGCAGTTATTCGTAAAAGCAACTATAAGATTTATGTTGAAAAATACTCAATATAAAAAAATCATTTCACACAATACCACTAGAGCAGCACAGAATAAAAATGTGACAATACCAATTAATAGATTCTCGGCCACCCAAAAACATATCTCCTATATTGGTCCAAAACTATTCAACCATTAGAAATCAAAGGTAAACCATATAAAAATGTAAAAAAAAAGATTCACCAATGGATAGTCTTGAATAATATAACATATAATATATTATAATAGAACATATAATTGACAAATGGCAGATTTTGTATGCTAAGGCATTGCAAACACAAGTTCCATACCACTTGGGTCATCTGGTCATCTCACTATTTATCATTCACTTATTGTACTGTTCATCATATCTTTGTAATTCACTATGAAAGTCAATTTTTTCTTCTTCCCTCTAAGACTAGGCATGAATACCAAATCTCGTTTTTTCCATATTTTTAAGTATTCTTTTTTAAATTTTTATTCAGCCTAAGAACTTGAGAAATTCATTGTATTTTATATGTAAAATTGTAAAAACACTAGCTGTTTTGTGAACCAACTATTGGTACACACACAAATTAAAAAAAGTATAGTGTTACACCATGGAAATGTAAAACGAACTGTTTTTAACTTGGTAATATATAAATTTTTAGTGATAATATTTTGCCGGAAATAAAAACAAAAAATATCGCTAGAATACAAAAGAAACCGTCAAAATGGTCTATTCTGATTGGTTCTCGAGATCAATAGTGGAATAGTCAATTAAAAAAAATTCAATACCATTTCGCGCATCCGTATATATTGTCCTTCTAGGCGAGCGTATAAATTCTGTGCCTCGCACCCCGTCTGACACTTACCTGTTGCGCCTGCGCGTCCGGCCGCCCCTTCAGCCGCTCCTGCACCGCCCTTATAAAGGACGCCGGCACCCTTTGCTCGAACTCGTCGACAGGCGTATACAGATTGAGCACCTTGCAGATCTGCAGGGGCGTTAGAGCGTCGCACATCTCGCACACGCTCTCCACGTCCTCATCGGTCTTTCTGGCCTGCAGGAGGTGGGCAGCTTGCACGATGGGCCGCAACGTCGACCGGATCGATTCCTCCTGATAGGAAAAATGTGAGGAAATCATTAAACATTGATTCGTTTGTAGATTGTAGATGGGTCGTATAGGCTTAGAGACCTCTGGATCACTGCGACCTAGAAGATCTATTGATCTAGTTTTGGTCCTCTAACCCTAGACTTCTAATGAAGCCTAGAATTTTCCTGGCGGTTGAATTTTCCACCTCAGCAGGTGTGAGATAGACCTGTTCTAGGTGATTCAGCCTTTGGCAGACTAATACTTTACATGAGCAAAGTATTTGTTCCGCGGTTTCTGTCGCATTGTTGCAAAAGCGGCAAGTGTCAGTCTCCGCCAGGCCCATCTTCTGTGGTATTAGCCAAGGAACCCAGCGAGCACAAACATCCCTGGGATGTTTTGAAAATGTTGGCATGAAGATGTTATTTTGAGACGTAATATGCACTGACCAAAGAGGTCTTTGAAGGATATTGAAGTATTGTTTTTGTTCTTCTGAGGCATTTCTTTGTTTGCCTACTGAGAGGTATCCCTGGGATGTTTTGAGATGTTTTAGAAATGTAGGCATGAGGATGTTTTTTTGAGGCGTTATATGCACTTCCCAAAGAGGTCTTAGAAGGATATTGAAAGTATTGTGTTTGTTCTTTTGTGCCCTTTCTTTGTTTGCCCCACCACAACGTCTCATGCTTACGTCACAATACGATGAATTCTGATTTGTTTTCGATTTTGTTCTTCTTGTTCGCAATTGGCATTCGCGTTTGCAGCGTGTCACGCTTACATCACGCTGCTGACGAACAGAAAGGAATTTGGTGAAGGTTATTGTGTTAGAAGACTTATTTAGTTTGTAATAATGACCATCAGATGCAAGATGTGTTGTTCGGTGCCTCAGTGTGATCAATATATAAAAGTACGAATTCATCAATACACAGCTTCTCCGCAGTTGCAAAATTATGCATTGTGGAGAACATTTCAAAAATTGGGAAACCTCTATTTCCAATTATATGTCTGTGTGTAGTAAGCACTACTCAGAAATCGATTAAGAAGGTAATTTCTATCCAGAAAATATTTTTATGTTCAATCTATTTTTAATGCATTTTTTCATTCAAGGGGAATGGAATCCTGACAAAAGGCTTCAGAAAAGTACCTCGAAAATGGTTTTTTCACAGCGATTTAATGTGCGCAAGACGCGTTGAAAATGTTCTGTTGTGTCCATGAAAAGGCTTTGAAAAGAACTAGGGAGAAGGTAGTTTTGTGACATATCAAGGACATCTCGATAATTGCCGCCTGCGGCGGACATTGGCTGTTCTATAATAGTTCTATTCATGTGTGAACAGAACATCGCAGTGGAGGTTCAATGTCTCGAAATCTCGTACTTTTAACATCTCTGAGATTTTTTTGTGCTCGCTGGGAACTAGTTGATTTCTGTCAGATATTTTAACAATGTTTTTTTATCTCTCAAAAAAAGTAGATATATGTCTAAAAATGTTGATCGATGAAATACTCACATCTAAATTGTTCTCTCTGGTCCACATTTCGAAATGTGACAGATTGTGCCTGATCTGGCAGCCCTTGGACCAATGGCAGAGCTCTTTCCTCAGCAACAGATTGTTCAAACTCGATGCGCATATGAAATAGAACACCTGCTTGAAGACCAACGATATCACCTCCGGATCAACCCCGTAGAACGTCAGAATCTGCAGAAAGTACACAAGAAATAAAAATATTATATTCGATAGCTCAACTGAGTAATTTATATTATATGCTCTTAAATTTCAACTATCAACTTATATCCTCATTATAAACAATTTATATTGTCAAGAAGTACAAATGCCTATGGAATAACATCACTCAACCTCGCGTTCATTTCAAAATCTTCAATTATAAATCACCTTTTCCAAATTAGAACATCTAATACAATGTAGTTTCGATCAGGTCAGCGGAGTTCATAGAGGTCAGTTCCTGTAGAATTTGCAAAAACCGCTCACCGTGCGATAATACCTAGGTAAGCAATATCGAAAGGTATTGGCCATTCCAATTGCAGAAAATTGCAAACCAAGCATCGATTCCGAATATAAATAGTACCCGAGTCGATAAGGCATCATTATTATCAATACAAGTCATAAGTAATTATCAATTAAAAATGTTCTCCGTCTCCTCGACTTCAATCCTGCTGGTCAACCCCATGCTAGACGTTGTAATGTAAGTACAGTTTTTTTTCAAGTGTTGTTTTGCGTTGTGTTCCATTTGGCAAGCCATTATGTTCTTTTTCTTTGGTAACCTGCTATTTTATGAAAGTCTCGTCTCGTTGGTCTCGTGTGAATCACTATAAATATGATGATCTAGGAAGTAACAACCTCACCAAATTTCAAATTGATAACTCCATATTGTAGCTCCGCTATCATACATTCTAGTTTGTGCCTTCAAAACCTGAATCACCCTGTATACAGAGTGTCCTGAAATTAGCCTGCCAAACTTCATCAGCTGCTTCTACGATCAAACATAGGACGAACAATTTCAACTAATTTAAGTCGATAAATGTCTCCAAAGGGAGCTACGGCCCCCTGAAAGGGGACTCCTGAAGATGATATTTTCGAAACGCCATGTGATAAAATGATGCGTTTCGGTACAAGAACTAAACCTTTCCATGCCCACTGTATTGAAAATAAAATCATTCCAAAATTTCATTCAGGAGTGTATAATACTGTCAAGAATGGATCGAAACTATGATTTTATTGGGAATATTTGAAATTCTCATTTCTGTAAGGAAGTTACTATAAATAGGTTTTCGTCTACCCACAAATTACATAATTTTTGATACAAATACAAGTAACTGATTTCATTCTGATGGAAATGCGTACTGAGAGATTGCGCTGCTGAATAGACGATTGAATAGACATGACACCGAATAAGAGACCACCAAGCAAATTCAACAATGCCTAATCAATAGTATATGTCATCAGACGTCAGTGGTGATTATCACATCATGTTCGAGGAAACTTTTTCACGTGTCATCACCAAATTTGAACGTAATTTTGACATTTCGACGTCACAGTCGCTCCACTCGCTGTTGGAGAATCTGCGATTTTGGCGATCATTTTCATGAGTGATGCGATGTTTATTATCATAAAGTCTGTAACCCTGATTAAAATCCCTGCAGTGTGGTCCAAGTGGTCGCAACCGGTCGGCAATCAAAAACTCTCTCATAGTTCCGTTCTCACCTTGTGATGGTTGGTGAGCTCCTGCAGCAGCGCCGCGGTCGGTTTGGCGCCGCCCGGACTGTCCAGGCTGCCCGAGGTGCTGCCCGCGCGGCCCCTGAGGCCGGCCGGGCGGTTGCCCGTCGTGCCGGGGATCTCTTCGTGCTCCAAGATGGCGGGCACGATCCACGGCTGGATCTTCTCCTCGATCAGGGTCATCAGCGCTGGAGGAAAGAGAGGCGAGAGGTAAGAATCTGAGACTAAATGGCATGGCGCATACATCTGTGTCTTGTGCCATTTTATTGTCTAAATTATGAATTTGTCAACTTTTTCATTTTCATGTAAGTAAGTATTCTTTGTATCTACAGTGTGACCCACTTCTAATGGAACCACCCCTGTATCTTACGTAATCGTTGGGTAAGGATCCTGAAATTTGCTGGAGCGAGAGATATACCAAAAATGCACTCTATGACCAAGTGGGGTCATCTTCAGTGATATACACTGCTCGCCAACAGCCATGAAACCACCCCAATTTCCGGAAAATGATATTAGGAGTCAAAATAGGTTGCAAATCACTCCTGATTCGGAATCAGGACGCCCAAGTTACCAACTATTCAAAGTTTTCCTAGAAGATTTTCAGTTCAGAAAAATTAAATTTTGTCTCACTTCTCATGGAAGAACCCCCGTATCTCACGTAATTATTGAGGTAGGGTTCTGAAATTTTCAGGAGGAAGAGGAAGTCCAAAGATAAAGTCAATTACGTGAGATACGGGGGTGCTTCCATAAAAAATGCGACAAAATTTCATTTTTCCGAACTGAAAATTTTCCAGAAAGAATTTGAATAGTTAGTAAATTGGGCGTCCTGATTCCAAATCTGAAGTGATTTTCGACCTATTTTGACTCCTAATATCATTTTCCGGAAATTGAGATACTTTCATGGCTGTTGGCGAGCAGTGTATATCACTGAAGATGGCCCCACTTGCTCATAGAGTGCATTTTCAGTATATCTCTCGCTTCCAGCGAATTTCAGGATCCTTACCCAACGAAATATTTTTCAGTAGATCAATATGCAAATCAGGAAGTGATTTTCGACCTATTTTGACTCCTAATATCATTTTCCGGAAATTGAGATACTTTCATGGCTGTTGGCGAGCAGTGTATATCACTGAAGATGACCCCACTTGGTCATAGAGTGCATCTTTGGTATATCTCTCGCTCCAGCAAATTTCAGGATCCTTATTACCCAACGATTACGTAAGATACAGGGGTGCATGGTTTCATTAGAAGTGGGTCACACTGTATATCCTATGTTATTGTTGGTTTTTCTAGAACTAAATTGTTGTATTCGGCTGATGATGGGCTTATACACTCACCGGCAAAATAAACCGGCCTTCATGAAATTTGCCCAAATTGTTCACACTATAAGTTTTTTAATCCTTGTCGGATTTTTGTGAAATTCAGATCAAATCGTAGATTCATGTCTCGGAATGTTAGCCTAAATATTAGTTTTCCTGAAAAGCTGAAGACATGATCATTATACAGGGAAAAACCGAAGTTACCCCATCATCCTATACTTCTCAACGCCCTGTGGAAAAATTGCGTGATTGAACATGGCTTCATTATGCTTCGAATTGAAGTGAGATCCCTTCTTAACACAAAAGTTTTCGATTCACGTCAATATCTTATTTTAAAAGAAGATACGACTGTTTTAATAAATCATGGTGTTTTTCAACTTTTTTTACCAATAATCAGAACCTACTTACATGAACTTATTGATTAACAACTTCAAGGATTAATATCACATATTTCTACCTCTTAGCACTTACCGGAAAATCAATTACAGAAAACAAACAAGAAGCAGACCTGTAGTCAATAACGAGTATGCTCTCCGCGATATTGAATTACGGCATTCAACCGCAGTGGCATCGAATTGATCAAATTACTCAAGTAGCCTTGAAGAATTGCCTGAAATCCTCCTTGAAGGGCGAAGCGTAGCTCTTGAAGAGTATCTGACAGGGCTGGGCGAAGGCGAATGAGCCTCTAGAGGTCACCCCTAAGATAGGTAGATAGGTTCTGAATAATTGTTATTGAAAATTAAAAAAATCTATACTTTCTTGAAACACTTGTATCTTCTCGCAAAAAGGAAATATTTACGTTATTCAAGAACCATTGTATGAAGAAGGAACAAAAGAGGATCACGCTCCAATTTAAAACATGATTGTTTAATTGTAAAATTGTAAAAAAAATGTTGGAGAATGGTTTTTGAATTATTGTAAAAAAAAAATTGAAAATCCATACTCTCTTGAAACACTTGTATCTCCCTTCAAAAAGTGGTTATCGACGTGAATAAAAAACCATCATGTAGAGAAGAGATTACTCGATCTTCAATCTAAAGCATAATGAAGCTAACTTAAACCACTCACCTTTCCCACAGGGCGTTAAGAAGTTAAGGGTGAAAAAGTAAATTTCGTTTTTCCCTGTATAATGATCGAGTCATCAGATTTTCTTATTTGTGAATTATTTATGACGAGTACATGACGTAACTCTCCAGCGAATTATGTATCAAGCAAGTGTCGTTTGTCGTTCTGAATGAAAACCAAGTAGGCCAGGTATTTCATCGTATGTTGACTGGGTATAATACGAAAATCATCCTTATCGGCCATATTTTCATCCATGATCCAGTCAAGATCCACATTTCTATAAAGTTTTTGAACAATAACATTTCTCATGTTGGAATATGTCAAGTATTGATAGAGAAATGTTATGTTTCCATCATTACACTTACATTGGTATATCCAAACTGCTGTATCTGAAAATATTTGACGATATTCAGAAAGATCGAAATTCTTCAAGCACTGCTCGTTCTGTTTGGGAGTATTTTTTCTTTGGAAGGCCTCCTCGCCACTGTACTGTTTCAAGTTATGAATTAACCTAAAAAAATGAGAACATAAAATATTGAAAAATATCCTACGAGGTATAAACATGAAAAAAAAGAGATCTCAATATTTCGAAACGAAAAATCGACCGAACATTAGTTACAATTTGGATGTGTGAGAAAGTTTATAAGGTGATTCCTTCTCAAATTCAAGGTTTGCTTTCCGAGGTGCTCCAAGAGATAAAGAAAATATGAACATGTCTCCTAAGTTTCTTCGTTTTCGAGATACAGGATGTTGAAATGTTGTTGACATTGATAAACAAAATGACAGTCAATGTGATAGTGACCTTTTCCAAATGGAATATGGTAAATTGAAGTCTGACAAATATTTAGCAATCATCTTTCAGCAATAGCCACAGATCGAAGAGCATCGACAGATACAGGCGTTTTAATGTCAGTAGTTGAATTTGTATAAATTTGAAATGACAGATTACATTTGAGCAGAAATGAAGTGAAATTTATTCCAGGCCAGAGAGTACAAAAACCTATCCAGTAAACGAAGGTACCAACCATGACATCAGATAGATCTCAGACCTTTTTTCAATTCGTAGGTGTACATGGGTAAATTACTCTCTGAAAAAATGTCTACAGGGAAATGACTGGAGGGGCGGGAAAATGGCTCCATAAACTCCAAAATCCATTATTCCCGACTCTTTTCCTCGATATTGGCCAAAATATGACACTGAGACAATTCTGGTACGGAAACAAAAAAAGAGCAGTTCATTACCTACAAAAATAATCCTCATCACTTTTGTCAAAAGTTCAACCGTCTCCGAGATAAACGGGACCAAGTATGTATATACAGAGAAGTGCACAGAAAACAGCCATGACTGTAACTCTTGAATTATTCTAGATAGGCTTTTGAAAATTGGTGGGCAGCTAGTATACCAAATTGCTCATTGATTGCGGAACCATTTTTGTTTTATCACTTTCGGTTTTACTGGAAACGACCCCAACTTCTGATTTTTTAATTTTGTTATAACGAATTCATTAATACCGGGTTTGATACGGTAATTTCAAACGATTACGCAGATATCCGCGTTCTAAGTTTCCATATGCTCAATGAGTGTGACAGAGAAAGAAGTTTTGATATTGCGAAGTCACATCCATTGAGCATATGGAAACTGTAATGTAATTGTTTGAAATAACCCTATCAAACCCGGTATCGTTGAATTCGTCATGATAATCCCTAACCAATTATGGAATACAATACCATTTAAAAATCAAAAGTTGGGGTCGTTTCCAGTGAAACTGGAAGTGATAGAAGAAACATTGTTTCATCAATTTCCAAAGACTCGTTCATCTAACGAACAGCGAGGCTCTGGAGGTGTTCCCCGAGGCATATAACCTCCAGAAATTTAAGAAGAACACCAATTCCTATCTTATTTCCCTTTGGTTCTCACGATGTTCTCTGAACATTACAGGATATCCCTTTTCGTTGGAACCAGTTTATTCAAATTACCTTTATGTTTATTCCAATGTATATTTTGTAAACGTTTTTGAATAAATTTATATTATTATATTATTATTATTATTATTATTAGAACATAAAAAACACCAATTTTCAAAACCCTATCTAGAATAATTCAAATATTACAAACCTGGATTTCGAGCTGCTGCGCCGCGTCTCGGAAGCACGCTCTATGAATAAAGGCATGAGCAGGCGGACAAATTGTTCAATAACTTGGGGAAACATTTTTTTTTCTCATGATTTAAAGTTTATAGAAGGAGGAACCTCTAGCTATAATATCGTTTCACTTTTTCCTCTTTTTATTTTTCTGGAATATTGAAAAAAAATTTCTAGAGTAGTTTCACCGAATACTTTTGGATAATGTGGCTTTGATAGGTGGTGACGAATGTATTCCCGAAGGATCATTAAATATTTTTTTTCTGTGACGGGAAAAAAGTTTGCCATTTCTTGTCTGTTGGCAGATTGTAAAATGTTACTTTTCATAAATTACTTTTTTCCCGTGGGATAAAAGTGAGTACATTTTTCCCGGATATATATCACATACTTATATATACACTGTTGATGGCTTTTGTTGTGCTATAGTTCCGAAAAATGAGTCAATAATATACCGTCTCCGCGAGAAAGAACTGCAATTCCTTTTATCTCCCATTCGACTTCGCGGTTACGTATATTACTCAACAACCACTAAATTCGCAATTTTTTGAAATCAAATCACAGAATTAGACTGACAGAAGTGACATCAGATATTAACAGGTCATCAGATACAACGCAGGTGTCCCTACTGGTAAAAACTTGAAATTTCACGTCGATAATTTTCAGATTTCAAAATAATGTAATATCTTCTCAATATTGATTCGTCCTTTCTTCTGTCACAGAAAAAAAATAGTGTATCATACACTCCACCTAACCTAACCTGGAGCAAAAATCTACTACTTTTTTCCCTTGTATAATAAATAACTATTTGTATATTTTTGTGAACGTGTTTTTCTTGAAGATTTTTGCAACCTTTTTTGGAAAGAAATATTAGTGCTGCTAAAAAAATCCTGAAATCCATTTTTGTAGGCAATGAACTACTCTCCATTCCTAGCCACACCCCACTTCTCTAAGTGTCATATTTCCTTCCGGTAATTTCCCAGACATTTTTTCAGAAATTAATGCACCTAAGTTGGGAAAAAAGTTTGGTATTCATCTCATTTCCAGGTTCATGAGATTTCCGTCCTTTATTAATAGGACTATATATTTACTACATCCAAGATTGAAAAGTTCTAGCATTCAAACCGATAATGATTGAGGCTGTGTCAAGTCTGTGGTTTGACCGGGCTGTATGAAGTCTATGAGATGTATGCGAGATTAAAGTTCCCGTGTCAATATGGTGCGCATGCCCAATAGCACTAAGCTTGCGCGGAATTGATAGGAAATCACGTACTGAAATTGAATGAAATAATTTAGAAATGCCCACTTGTTTCGTTTCTGGTTATGGAAATTCCAACTAACATACGAAAGGCACCGATATTGAATTTTTCTGCTTTTCCAAGAATGGAGACCTAATGAAACGATGGGAGCTGGCTGCCGACAGAATATGAACTCAAATAATGGTACCTACCTAATATTCCTTATATCCTCATTCCAAAGTATTCACCTATCATATTATCATCACATTCATATTACAGCACGTATTTCTTCAAAACATTTCCATGCAAAATGTTCCCAAACAGCTGCGAAAGTTAAGTTCTTGACTTACACCTCCAAAAAATCACGAATATTTGAAACAAGATGCCATTCCTACAGAACATCTTCCGTCGAATATCAAGTCAGAAATAATTGAAAATGAATTCAAAACTCTTAATTTCTCACAAAATATAAATTGCATCAAAGATTTGAATAACAAAACGGCAAAAATTGATACTCCTCTGTTGTCGATGTCGGAGCAGAAGCAACATCAACGTCGTTAACTGCTCAATTTTAATCTGTCAGAATCGACACAGTAGTGGATCATTCAGATGGGATTGGCAATGCATGATAATTCGTATGTATTTGCTATTTGCGATTGTGGATTACCTCAAGATTACAATTTCCAGAATGAATAAAATAGTACATGTTTATATAAATTGAATTATTTCTAAATAGATCGATAAACTCGTAGAAATTTCAATAAACATGATTGAATTCATTGCTCATTGCGCATGCCCATGGCATCGGTATCTGTCTGTGACTAGCAGCTGATATTGGTATCCCAGATAACGTCACATAATATGCGCGTAGGCACACCATCTTCTCCTTCCACTATGGTTTATTATATAATAGTAAACGAATAAGATATACGTCTGTGTGTTATTTATTAACGAATATAAATACAACCATATACGTATCAGTCTGACCACCAGCTTCTGATGGAATTCGAGTCAACCATTGACCATCCTGGTATCACCACTGTGGTCGAACGAATGACTTGACATAGCCTCAAATTGAGAAAAAAGCAAGCGACTTCAATACATGAATTCTCTGCTCTAGCGCTGGGTACATACCTCAGAGTATTCGACAGCCATAATGTTGTGGTTTCGAAATCCTGTCTCTTCCTCATCACCTTCTTCAGCGTATTCGTGAACGTCGACAAGAGACACCTGACTTTATCTTCGTCGTTGATGTAGTCCGTATGGCGGATGCACATGAAAATTATGTAGGCCGGCAAACCTGGCAGGAGAGCTACGGCTGTGCGCGGTTTGAGATCTGCAGATGGTAAACACAAGAATCACCTATACATTATACCATCGAAGATGTATTGATTCTCAATGGTTATTCGCGAAAATCATAAAGTTTGCGGCCTCTGGTGACGAACACGAGAACCTTTCCGAAGGTGATCAACAATAGTTGGACCAAGATTATGCAAGGTGTCCCAAAACTCAACGTCCTTTTTTGGAATTTCAGCTCATGACTGACCAGAATATCACGATATGACCTCAGTAAGATATTGATAGTTTTGGAGATATAGGCACGTCTATGTATTTCGTGAAAATCGAAACCATTGATCAGTATTTTGAGTGCCGCAGGTACAAAACTTTATAGTTTGAGATTCCTATTTTTGTTATGCAACCTGTTATAACTCTTCTATTGAGCAATCAAAAATAAAAACATGTTCGCCCGATTCATGAGTTGGTTTATTTTAATTAGCTCCCTTAGACTCTCCATTCTGTAAACAAAATAATCATGTGAACCTGTGAAATTATACTAAAAATGTGCATAATCAGTGTAGTTTTTGATTCGATGAATAATATTCTTTATCATTCACTAGAAACCTATTTTGAAATCATTTCAATAATGAGTCTGTGGCTTGCAGCGAAATGTGGATTTTTAATGACACTCAACAGGTAGAAAAAGTGTACTTTAACTGCCTAGGCAGAAAAAGTTTGTTGCTATGCAACGTTCCAAGTAATTTGGATCAAATTGGTAATCAAAATACACAATGACTCTAGGCGAACAAAAAATTATGAATTATTTGGACTTTTCATGAAATTTGAGAGAAAATTATATGTTTCACATGGCAGAAAAGAAGATGTTATGCCTTGGCTGGTGTGCTAGCGTCGGCTACGCCTAGGCTATGATACGCCAGCCGCGGCATTAAATCTTGTACTTTTCTGCCTAGTAAAACAAATAATTATTGTTAGAAACAAGGATTTGTAATCGGTTCGAAAACGTTAAAAGGTTAACCCGTTCGCGGTGTATGTTTGGTTGCCTATACTGCAACCATGCATTGATAGATGAATTGAGTTTTTGGACTCATTTTGTGCCTATAACCTGGATGATTGTTTTATCAAAACACCTACCAAATGAACAAACCGCAGTGAGAGTTGAATCGAAGAAGTATTTTTCAGTTCATTTGTACTCTTCCTAGTGTACATACGGACACTTCCGTTACATTCATATATTCTTGTGGATACTGAATTGTGTGAAAAAAACCTGCTGAGTTGCTGAGAATTGAGAAACTCATACGGCAGTTCCTACATGCATGTTTCTGTAACATTTTATAGCTCAGAATGTCACAAAATGGAAAGCTGAGGCAGGACAACCAAACTTCTGCATTCGTTTTCTGAAAACTTGAATCCTAAGTATCTGGTTTTGATTAATTTGAGTTCTGGACCATCCATGGGTAAACCACATATATCTGGAAAGGGCATCAGCAATAGCTTCAGTGAAGATTCCGATGACATCAAAAAGGATTCTCAAAGGAGGATTCTCAAAGGAGGGTGCTCAAAAAGTACACTTTACATATATAACACAGGCTTGATCATGTTTTAAATGAGTATTCATTGTATTTGTTCCATATAGTTGTATTAGATTAGATTCAGAGTGGGGCCTTCGGGCATCTGCCTCCACACTGCGACCTTTTCAGATCTATTGTGTCTGCCCTCGAAATCGTTTAGAGTTCTTTGGCTAGCCCCGCCTTCTCTATGAGACCCCATAGGCTAGCTTTCAGATCCCCTGTGTCACTTCGGGATCTTGGTTTTTCTCACCCAGCGTAAGGGACCTTAGTCTTGACAAGCCCTCACAGTGACAAACTACGTGTACTGCTGTTTCCTCCTCTTCCTGAAAGAACCTGCACAGCAGTTCTTCAGTCAGACCTATCGTACTCATGTGTTTGTTGAGCCTACAATGCCCTGTGAGAAGTCCCACTAGTATCCTAACATTCGGTTCTGGCTGAGTAGATATTTTGTGAATGTTGGCGATGGTTTTTAAAAAAACTCTTTTGCCTGTCTCATTCCTGGCGAGTTGTTCCACCATTCTTGAGGTTTGGTATGGTGGTTCCTTACCTCCCAAAAACCCAAGTTTTGCGAGTGACAGAAGATGCGGACCATAGGATAGTCAACTACCAAAAAATCGGTGAATACAAAAACTGATGTTACGAAGGAACATTGGTCCTATCGAGCTGGATACTCATAAAAAATCAGTTAAATCGTAAACGGGAAATATTTACCCGAAAATATTTATCGGAATTCATTCTATCATCTCCTTTACTACGTTCTTTTTTTTTCAAATTGTTTACCCATCGGTCGGCGCACAATTTGTTGTTGACGTTGGAGCAGGTAGAAAATGCAAGGTTGTCAGATTGTGGAAAAGTCGGGGTTTAGGAAAAGCTCATTTCAATTAGAAAAGAGGTTTTTGATTCAATTTAACGGAATTTATTGTAGGTCGGTTATTTATTCAAGCACTTTTGAACATTAATTTGCAGAGATGACTACGTCGGAAAGGGAATTGAAAAAACTTATTGCAAGAAAAGAAAGTTTGTTTTGCATCTTGCAGATGTTATACGATGTAAGTAAAGATTTGTCAACGGAATCATTGAGATCAAATTTTCGTAATACGTGGCATTGCGTCTTATGGCATTGGCGGTCTAGATAGTAGATTATGTCATGAAAACTCACCTATAACCAGTTTCTTCATGATGGCGGCCTCGTCCCCGACCCTGAACGAGAACATGCCGAGGTACTCGCGATCCTTCTTCCTGATGGTCGGCATCGCCCTCGTCTGCGCCACTGGAGCTTTCGCGTTCGAATTGTTGACGTCCGGTTCGGGTACGTCGATGCCAGACTCTTTCAGCTTCTTGATCAGCGTCTTCAATAAAATTACATTGAAGGTAATACACAACATAGGTACGTAACATATACAGGGTGTTCCTTAATGATATGCTTATATTCAAGGGACTGATTCTTCGACCCATTTCAAAAATAAAACTTCATATGAACGTATGTCGTAAATGTCCTGTCCTGTCCTGTCGTAATAACCTTTGAGATACAGGGTGTCAATGTTGAAAATACGCATAGATTATTTTTTTGTCCACCCTGTATAGCTTTTCGTGATGGCAAAATTCAGTTTGCTATGTGACTGAATCGGTATACAAATTTCAAAATGTTACATACGCTGGTTATCCAGTAATGGATGTCCTGAATGGAGTACTCGCATACATCAAAATTTGAAGCCTGCCCAGCGAGCACAAACATCCCTGGGATGTTTTGGGATGTTTTGAAAATGTTGGCATGGAGATGTTATTTTGAGACGTAATATGCACTGACCAAAGATGTCTTTGAAGGATATTGAAGTATTGTTTTTGTTCTTCTGTGGCATTTCTTTGTTTGCCTACTGAGAGGTATCCCTGGGATGTTTTGGGATGTTTTAGAAATGTGGGCATGAGGATGTTTTTTTTGAGGCGCAATATGCACTTCCCAAAGAGGTCTTAGAAGGATATTGAAAGTATTGTTTTTGTTCTTTTGTGCCCTTTCTTTGTTTGCCCCCCCACAACGTCTCATGCTTACGTCACAATACAATGAATTCTGGTTTGTTTTCGATTTTGTTCTTCTTATTCGCAATTGGCATTCGCGTCTGCAGCGTGTCATGCTTACATCACGCTGCTAACGAACAGAAAGGAATTTGGTGAAGTTTATTGTGTTAGAAGAATTATTTAGTTTGTAATAATGCGACCATCAGATGCAAGATGTGTTGTTCGGTGCCTCAGTGTAATCGACATATAAAAGTACGAATTCATCAATACACAGCTTCTCCGCAGTTGCAAAATTATGCATTGTGGAGAACAGTTCAAAAATTGGGAAACCTATTTCCAATTATATGTCTGTGTGTAGTAAGCACTACTCAGAAACCGATTAAGAAGGTAATTTCATATCAAGAAAATATTTTATGTTCAATCTATTTTTAATGCATTTTTTCATTCAAGGGAAATGGAATCCTAATGCAAAAGTTCATTTTGACAAAAGGCTTCAGAAAAGTACCTCGAAAATGTTTTTTTTACAGCGATTTAATGTGCGCAAAACGCGTTGAAAATGTTCTGTTGTGTCCATGAAAAGGCTTTAAAAAGAACTAGGGAGAAGGTAGTTTTGTGACATATCAAGGACATCTCGATAATTGCCGCCTGCGGCGGACATTGGCTGTTCTATAATATATCTATTCATGTGTGAACAGAACATCGCAGTGAAGGTTCAATGTCTCGAAATCTCGTACTTTTAACATCTCTGAGTTGTTTTTGTGCTCGCTGGGTGGTATCGTTTTTCCGTTTTTCTCGAAAACGAAGCGTTCTATCGAGTATCAACAAGAGGATATTTTTTGCACATAATTAAATAGCATTGTAGAAAACTTGAAAATTTTTCGTAGTTCCTCACTTTTTAGTAAAATATAAACAATAATTTTCCCGTAACGGTGCCACTGGTAGAGAAAATGAAAATTTTTGTACCTACATCAGAAAATACACCTCGATGCATGAAAGACGTGTACGAAATTCCATACATGTATACAATATTGTCTTAGTTATCATAAAAAACTGAATATTTTTTGAAACTTCATCACCCTGTATCTCAAAAGTTAAGACCTTTAGGACATACGTTCATATGAAGTTTTCTTCTTAAAATGAGTCAGAGAATCACCCCCTCAAATATTAGCATGTCATTAAGGAACACCCTGTATATGTAACAGGTATGTAACAGATATTTAACAGATATACAGAGTGAATCATGGCATTCAGGTATAGGAAACATGACATGGAAAATATTCTGTATTTCTTAAGGATTTCGAAAAGCAAGAAATATACAGTGTGATCCATTTGAAATAACAAAGTTCATTATTATTACGGAAAAAGGAGAGATCTGACAACAATGTAAATACCACCATAATATCGGCCGCATCACAAGACCCTTGCACACCAAAATCTATAAAAATCGTTTAATCCGTTCCCGAGATAATTGATGCGTTCCATACATAAAACTCACCCTGTATAACTACTATCAACTTTTAACGTTTGGAAACTAGGGGTCGCCAAGAAGAGAATTCTTGTCTTGATAACAACTTCTTGTATTGTCTTGAGAAAAAGTCAAGAAATTTCAAAAATTCTTGACGTGACATTTTTCTTGAGATATCATTTCTTGTCTTGACTCAAGAAATTTCAAGATATTGAAATTTCTTGATTGACCGGAGACACCGTACAGTCGTATTCAAAAAAAAGCGTACAAGTATATTGGAGGGAGAAATTAACGTCATCCTATTTGCGTAAAACGGGCTATCGGGAATGAATGTTTACCAAATGTTGACAGTATAGAGTTATCATAGGTTCTCAAAAACACAAAGCATTGGCTGTGCCAATTTCACACAACGAGAACTCGAATGCCGAAATCTTCTATGTTTAATACTTGTACGCTTTTTTATTGAATACGACTGTACATGGTGAATCCCCGGCGAACTTTTTATTGCGTCGCGTGCCAGAGGGTTGCCATCTAGATTTATATTTCATCAGTAGATATACCTTTACAAGAAATTCAGTAGATCTCAGTAGATTTATTATTTTGTGCTATACAAATTTCAGGATAATGAAATAAACCTCTATGACGTCAAAAAAATATGTATTTTTATGCCACGGAAAAAAATTTGACATTCGATCTCTGTTGAAAGGTAACAATAAAATGTCACTTCTCATAAAATTACTTTATTTTTACTGCGAAAAAAGTGAGTACTTTTTGACCAACATAACATGCGCTTATACGCATTCGAATTTATAATCAGTGGCGCCAGATAATTTATTTACAGAACCTGCCCAAATATCACAGAAGATATTATGAGTCTATGTGATTGACTAAAGGTCAATATCAATTGGTAATTATAATAATAAATGAGTGTCAAAATTTTTTCAGTAGATTATGCATGTTTCATATATGTATAAACAATAATCTGAAATCTAATTTTGTTCTGTTGAATATTCAGAATGATATTATGTGCATATATTTATATGAAGGAGAATGCAAATTCCCTACTTCAGAAGATTTTGTTTTCAAATTCTTATCGTGTATGTTCAATAGATGTAATTCAAATGTTCGTGGTAGCATATAGCCAGGAAAATAATTGTTTTCTGTTGACTATTCCACTCTTGATCTCGAGAACCAATCAGAATCGACCATTTTCACGGTTCCTTCTATATTCTAGCTATATTTTTTGTTTATAAAATTTTATCGGACTTGCTCTACCAATACAGAAGCCGAATTGACCCACACGTGACCAACAAACCTCGTTTATCAGCGATAAAATTTTGACATCGTGTCTGGTCAAGATTGCTTTGGATTCCAATCTGAGACAATAACCTAAGTTCCTACTTTATTTAATCTACTTATAATTTGCGTTAGTGAGACATTTTGTACGAAAGGCGAGAAAATTTTACTCTGGCTGGACGTTTCATGTGTAATTTAAAAAGTTTACATATTTGTTGGCGGTCTGACAACAATACTAGAAGTCAAATTCCTTTTTGAAGTAACCTTCTTCAATTATTCAAGTTATTGTGACTGATATAATTACCAGATGATGTGGCGCAATAACTGCTAGGGTTGTTGCGCGAGGATACGAAGGTCGGTGGTTCGAGCCCCTCGGCAACGATATATTTTTTTAATTATTTCATGTCACATGAATTCAATTTATTTTTTTGAATTGGATAGCAATTGTATACACTCTTTTGAGAGCAACCATCTCCAAGATAATAAAAAAAATACTGTTTATCAAAATTGTACATTCCACTTTGTGGATAACTATAAGTAGGTAGTTAATTTCTAAAAAATTAAATTCTGTATTTCATTACTATCATTATGTTCTTCTTCGCAGTTTGAGTTGTAATATACTTAAATTGTGTTCCCTATTTCTTATATCTACTGTCTCATTGAATCATGAAATAGTCATACGAATACAACTCGTGATACTATTTTTCCTGGAAATATTCGTCGATAGACATACTCCAGCTTGATGCTCTAATTTCGCTAAAATTACTAGGCAACAAGCTGTCGTAACAATCACCGAATATTTCCGGCAAAATATCATCACTTGTGGTATTATATATGAGAATATTCCCTTTCAATACTTATTTTTGGTATAACTTCTGATAATTTGATTGAAATCAATAAATCGAATTTCATTCAATCTAGTTTCATTTGGTAAAAAACATTCAGCTAGGACACCGTGGAGAAAGACAGTTTCTGGTAATTCGTTGGGTTGCTATTATCACAAAACTTGACAAACGTCTGATTCACTGAGAAAGTGAGGTGTGAAATATCCTGTGAATCTATTTTATACCTACTAAGTACCACCTTAAAAGAAATACAGAGTGACACAAACCTTCCTTTGTTTCTTCAGTTTGCGCACGGTTTCGTTCAGCAAGTCGATCTTATCGTGCAATTCTAGATTCTCGGTCGTCAGTCTGGTTATCTCCATCTGCATGTAGGCTTCTCCTTGCGTTTGGGGAGTCGTCAAGTTGGCAGAGAGAATTCGTTGCTGTCGTTCGTTATCCTCCAGCAACTTGGAGATCTCCATCTGAAGAACAATCCATTCGCGGTTCAATATACAGTACAAATTCATTATTGTTGTATACGCACATTGCTACCAAATGTATATGTATTTTTGTGCATGGTATATCCTTGGTAAATGAAACATCACATTATAAATATCATGATATAATAGGAAATATCGGGGAGTTCAGTCAATCGGGCTAAAAGCAAACTACTTTATTGCTATGTCAAGCTTTCGAGAATTTTTTTTTCAAGGTTGCAATGTGAGTTAGACAGTGGCGGCTCCTCAGAGGAGGCAACGAAGGCTGAGCCTCCTCACAGATTTTCCTTAAACTAATATTATCTATACTTTCTCATTGAATGGACACCAAAATACATGGATTTTGATTTTATTTCCTGTTTTTAGTTGAATATTTTTGAATTGGCAACAGTGCTTGCCCACGCATCACTCGTTGAAGTCTGCAAATCACGCGTAAATTATTCAACTTGGCAACATCTATAGGAGGCTAGACTCTGTCACATAGCGCAACCTACGCGCGCAATGCAAATGCCCGAATACGCCCGAATAGCACGTGTTTGTCGTGTTGCTTTGCGAATTGCGGACAAACGCGAGTGCATTGTTTATGTTTATGTTAGGTTAATGGTTCGGAGCTCTATGAATTTCTGAAAAATGAGTGTTTTAAACGATCGCGATTTAGTGGAATACTTTTTGGTGAACCCATTCAGTGCTTTGTCTTATGGAGGAAAATTGATTGTGAAAAACAAACGTCCGACACCGGAATCAAAAAATCTGATTGTAACAGGTACCTATACCAAACAAAATCGTTCGTTCAATTCTGATGATTATAAAAAATATATCTGGTTGACGGGATCTGAGGTAAGGAATAAGCTATTTTGTTGGTACTGCGTATTATTTTCAACCGATAAGTCATCATGTTGGGGGCGATTAGGATATAATCATTTGAAAAATTTGCCTCGCGGATTGGATAGACACTGCAAATCACAGGAACAGATCGATCTCTTCAAGTATTAAGTTCAGGTTAACTGGTAAACATAATATCATTAAAGCTATTGATTTGGGTGAGTAGAGAGTTGATTTTCACATTAAATCTCATATCATTCAGCCTCCTCTGTCATGAAAGTCACGAGCCGCCACTGGAGTTAGAAGGTATAAATTGGAATAATAATGAGTATAAATATAGATAACGTATGTCACTCACATTGAAACCTTGAAGAAGAAAATAAAAATTTTCGAAATCTTGGCATAGCAATAAAGTATATTGCTTGTAGCCCGATTGAATGAACTCCCCGATATTTCCTATTATAATACAGTCGATGAACTATTCAATAAATTATAAATATCATCAGAATTATCAATTATAATAAATTTATTCACTTGCTTTGTCATCTTATCTTCCTATCGATATTTTTACGATTAGCTCGATTTTATCTCCTTCAACAAATTTCTATTGTAATTTTATGTTCGTTGTTTGGTATTCCAGTAAAATACCTAATTATGATAATGTCGAATATGTTTTGGGACTGATAAGTTTCAAGTTAAATCTCGAAAACTGTGTACAAGACTAAGAATATAATGGAACAATTTAGACTCAAACATACCCAAAAAATGGAGAAGAATTATCAAAGAATTGTATTTACAGTATACCTTGTGGTTGTGCAAAGTATTATACATGTAGGACAAAAGAATATGAGTACATAAAGAAAAAATAACTCAAAACTATCCGAACTTATCCTCACTGAAAATGGACTACATAATTATGGCAGAGTGGAATGATATTCAAAATATAGTATGTGAATATAACAACGAGAAAGAAGAATCGAAGAATCCGCTTGCATTCTTCTGAACGGGGACAATTGCTTCCTAATCAGTTGCTATACAGGGTGTTTCGAAATTCGACTGACAACGCTTGACAGGTGATAGTCCTCGTGATTTCATAATTACTGAGATAAAGACCTACGGTCTATGAGTGTTCAGTTCTCGAGAAACAGGGTATTGAAAGGTGATGTTTTTTACCAGAAAGTCATTCTGGACATGTTGCCCAGTGATACACGCTACAGTTGGTTACGGTTTATTTTCCTCCCATACTTTCTACGCCATTGATCAAATTTCGATTATTTCCGATTTCTCGAATGGAGTTGTGCATACTAGTGAAATTCACGCCACATACCTATTTTATATTGAACATAACGTGTATAAATAGTATTTGATGCAATCATTCGTTAATTTAAATCATCACAAATATATTCTTTCAATAATTAAATTCGGCGACTTCAAAATACGCCAGGTTCGATGAAGTCATGAACCAAATTCTGGCTTTCGCATAAAAAGTAGAACCACATATTTCGACGCTACCAGATTTGTAACTAGTATTTTATTTTATTTTTTTTTTCATCGCTTGGAGCGCACGAAAGGGAATCCCTATAATGTTCAAAGAACATCGTGCGGGAGGAAAGGGACAGGAGGTAGGTATTGGATTTTTTTTGAACTTTTGGAGATTATATGTTGTTGGGAATACTTCCACAGGCAATGAATTCCAGAGCCTAGCCGTTCTATGGATGAAGGAGTCTTGATAAAGTGCTGTTCGACATCTTTCGAGGTTGACAACAAAAGGATGTGCTGACTGGGCTTGTCTAGTTCGTCTGATTGGTATTGCTAGTGAAGGGATGATAGCAGAGATTTCCGAAGAACATTTCCCGTGGAAGTATCGATAGAAAAGTGAAAGGTCGCCGACCTTTCTACGGTGTTCCAATGATGTCAAAGAGTGAGTGAGTGTGGCGTCACCCACCAGGCGAATGGCTCTTCTCTGGATGGAATCTAAGAGCATCAGCGTATGTTTTGGTGCTGAACCCCATATGTGGGAACAGTATTCTAGAACAGGCCGTATCTGCGCTTTGTAGATCATGAGAAACTGTTGAGGTGGTAAGTAGCTTTTCGCACGGAACAAGAATCCGAGTTTTTGTGAAGCAGCTTTTGCGATGGATCTGACATGATTATCCCATGAAAGAGTATTGCTGATGGCAATACTGAGCATAGATATGGTGGGCTTGGTGGGGATGGTGGAGCCAGACATTACAATATCGGGCATACTGAGTTCCGCCTTTCTAGAGAAAATGCAGGCTTGAGTTTTGGTGGCGTTGAATTCAACTAGGTTGTTTGTTCCCCAGGTTGTGATTTCTGCAAGATCTTCATTGACAGCATTGACCTGCCTGCGCCGTGAGTTCTTAGTTTCCTGGGAAGAAATGGGAATTCTGGAAGAGAACGCAGTATGGAGGGTACTATCATCTGCAAAGCTGTGGATGGGGCAAGTTGTTACTCCCAACAGATCATTGATATGAAGCAGGAATAATGTTGGTGCCAAAATTGATCCTTGTGGAACGCCGGAATTGATGCCAATGGTATCAGACGATACACCGTCCACCACCACGTGAAGCGATCTGCCTGAAAGAAAACTCGATAAGAGATGGCATAGCTGAGGTGGTAAGCCGTATGATGGTAGTTTGTGGAGGAGTCCTTCGTGCCAAACACGGTCGAATGCTTTCGATATGTCCAACGCGACAGCTAGAGATTCCCCGTGTTTTTCTATTGAAGATTGCCATAAATGGGTGACGTAGGCAAGTAGATCTCCAGTAGATCTTCGGTGGCGAAAGCCGTATTGTCTATCATTGATGATTCCTGAGCTCTCCAGATATTTGATGAGCTCAATATTGATGGCTTTCTCCATCACTTTGGAGATTACTGATAACAGGGCAATGGGCCTGTAGTTGTTGGGCAGGTTCTTGTTTCCTTTTTTGGGGATTGGTTGGACTCTAGCTGCCTTCCAGCATGATGGAAAAATACCCGACCTGTACGAGATGGTAAACAACTTGCAGAGAATCGGTGTTAATTCTGGTGCACATTTTTTGAGGATAATGGATAATTACCTTATGACATTTAATAATATGACCAATCCTAATAATGATCGAGATTTTATTTAATCCCAAATTATTTCGTGGCACGGGCAACAGTGTAATGCCTAAGTTCCCAGAAATACAAAAGAAGAAAAAGAACAACACAAACTACATTGTCAACCTAACATCCTGACGTTATTATAGTCACCTTCATCATGAAATCCTTGTTTCATTTTGCCAAGATGCAAATATTCAAAGATAATCCTCATAATTTGATTCTTTAGTTGTGTGTTGTGTGCTCTGTTATTTATTCCATATTCTGATAGAAATGACTACCAAAATTATTCTTGCCCTTGTCATCAGAAATAGAGAATTGATACGTAAGTCGAATCTTATATGGTGTTTTCGGATGTTTACGTCACACGTGACGTAATCTTCTTCTTCTCTTCTTGTATTTCTGGGAACTCTAGGCATTACGCTATTGCCAGTGCCACAAAATAATTTGGCTACGCGTTGGGAGACAACACAACCTGGAGCTCAAATCTACCACTTTTTTCCTTTGTATATTAAATAACTATTTTTACTTCACAGTGAGATGAGGACCTCAATATTGGAAACTTTCCCATTTCAAATAACGAATTATTGCATCGAAAACTATTATTTACACACTGAATTATCAATATGAAATAGGTTGGTGCCCTAAATTCGACTAGTGTGTACAACCCCATCGTTACCTACCTTGAGTTCTTTTTCATAAGCTTTGAACTTGACTTTCTCATCTTGCAGCTCCAGTTCCAGCTGCTTGTTGATCGTCTTCTGCGTCTCGTACGCCTGCGCCAATTCCCCATCTTCGTTTATGTATTCACCTGTAAAGGTAGAGTCAGGGTTCGACGATAAGCATGAAACAGAAAACATAACTCGTGCAAAATGATAGAAAAACGGGAAATGTCCGGAGGCACTGTACCTGTCCGCGTCTTGGAGTTGAGGATCGACTTGATGTTGTTCGTTTGATTGGCCAGCACGCTCTTCAGCTGCACGATTTCTTCGCTCTTCCGTTCCAGTTCCGTTTGCAGCTCCTTCAGCTGTTCGTGCAGTTTCGTTGGACCAGTGCCTGTATGATATTAGAACAATTTTCAAGATTCAGATACCCTCAAGAGCTCAAGTGTGATTGTTCGTTTCATTTTTTTGTTCTGGTTCCCACGAAAAGGGATATCCTGTAATGTTCAGTGAACATCGTGAGAACCAAGAGAAATAAAGTGGGAATTGGTGTTCTTCTGAACTTTCTGGAGGTTATATGCCTCAGGAAACACCTCCCTTGGCAATGTGTTCCAGAGCCTCGCTGTTCGTTGGATGAACGAGTCTATGGTAAGAGATGTTCTGCAGGTATCCAAAGTGGCCATGCAAGGGTGTACAGCCTCAACTCGACGGGTTAATCTCGCGGGGACTGCCAAGGGAGGAACAATTGTTGATATTCCAGAAGAGCATCGTCCATGAAAATATCTATGAAATATAGCCAGATCACCAACTTTTCTACGGTGTTCCAGAGAAGTGAGTGAGTTTGTGAGCGAGGCATCACCCACGAGACCAGTTGCCCTTTTTTTGACAGAATCCAACAGTTTCAGGGTATGTTTGGGTGCTGGAATATGGAAACAGTATTCCAGGATAGGTCGGATCTGTGCCTTATAGATCATAAGCAGCTGACTGGAAGTGACTGGTCAGAAACAGAAAACCACGTTTTTGAGATGCACTCTTAGCAATTGATCTCACGTGATTTTTCCAAGAAAGGTTATTGCTGATAGTAATACCATGCATCGAAATGGATGTCTTCAAAGGTATGGTTACTCCTGACAATAAGCTTATGTTGGGCACAGTGAGATTGGCTTTTATCATCTAGAGAAAAGGCTGTCAAACTGTTAGAGTAGGTTCATAAACACTTAGGAGCAAGCAATCCTCTCAGAGTAAGTTAATGAACACACTCCATAACAACAAGTTGAACAAATGGAAGTCTGTGGCTACTTCAATTTTGAAATCATTAAGATTCAGAGAAGCAAAGCAAATTTCTTACCTTCGTTGATGCTATTCTGCAGCTCGAACAGCTGCGTCTTCAACTGCGAGTTGCATAGCTCCATCTCGGATAACCTGGCGGCATTTTCGACGTCGGACCGCTGCGTGTCAGATTTCGGGGACAGATCTATCTCGTCGAGGCGCTTCTGCATCCGCGTCTTCTCTCTCTCGACGCCTGACAGCCGGTGCTGCAGCTTCAGCACCAGGCTGACGTCCATTTTGGGTTCGGTCGTATCGTTCCTGGCGTTACTGTCGCTGGTCATGCTGGCAGTTTCGCTGTTTGCTGATAGAAATAATAGTGTTAGCGGCGGAGAAGTTTGTAACTTTCTTCGTTCGTTGGCCTACTACAGGGGGTCGTCACAAAGTAATTTTTTTCGATCAATGGGTTCGTGATTATTGAGGCAGGAGGCAGACTGAGATTTTAGACATTAAGACAACATATAGATAGTTACTGAGACATATATTCAGGTAGTATGGTCAGGCAGAGGTTACAAGCAACAACATCAAAGTTTGCTTACATTTTAAATTGAACATTTTTGTTCCACTGTTCACTTGTTTTCAATTGGCGAGAGATTCACTTCACTTTTACGTCTCAGTCACAAAAGTTGCAATTTACAATAAATTTACCTGAGTACAGGTATTATTAACGAAGTTCACTGGTACTGTTCGAACTTAGCATGTTTGATAGACAGATACAAATTCTGCTGGATATGTTTTGTATTGAGTCGCGTTTAAGACTCGACATTTTACATTATGCTCAATAGATTCAATGATTGTACTTCAATAATTATTCCCGAAGCTCACTAACAAAACTTTCAACTAACACAACGGAGATCGAGACATTGTATTGGAGACTGATCAATACTGCTTCATGAATAACTTCAGACTGTCTTCTTTTATTCGGATTGTTCCTGCTTTTATACAGAATTTTAGCAATACATTTTGGGAGATTCAATTAAATGTAAGACAAGATCCATGTTGTGTGTATATTAGGCAAGATTTTTCGTAGATTTTTGAGCGATAAATTACAGATGTTAGGATTAATTTGCGAAACTAAAATGATTTCGTTGTAGTTCTGAGTTGTTATGACGATAAAAAATTTTAAGCTCCAACTCATACTCTTAATGTTAACAAAACTGTCACTTACTATAGTTTTCCATTAACCCTTTTTCTGGCAATAATTCAATTTGGTTTATGGTTCTCATTAATTTTTCTTGACTTCAATTTGCAAAAGTGAGATGATTTCGATGTAACTCTCTAATGTTATGTTTCTTTTCATCGGCGACTTTGTGGATAATGAATAATTTATTATTTCAATTTGCTTACATCAGTTGAGCAAGTATCTACATCAAATTGAATCATGTATTTTGTTTATATTCAAACAACTTTGAAGAATTTGAGTTCAGGTGAGGTGCCATACCTACTTATCTATTTTAGACTATTTTGAATTAAAAGTTCACTCATTCAACAATGATTCTAGAATTCCTAAGAATGTACTGACTATTTATCTTTCCTAATATTATGTAAACATAAATTTTTTTCTCACAACAGGTGAGTCTATTCAAACAGTCATTGCTGGAATATTTGTCTGACGTGCTCTTTTCTTCAGTGATCCTATGTTATAATTAGCTGATGATGGAGCTTTGAAGCTACTACTAATTGTTGAAATGAAGTATTGTTTTGGAATTGACTGTACATTTTCTTCCCCGTTGTGGAAATGATTTCGTGTTTTCTAAAACGGTTTGCAGAAACTTTATATCTGACAACTTTGCTCGTAGGATCAGTGTCCTTTCCAATAGTTCAAAGCTAACCCTGTAAGCAAGAAATTCAACTTTTTGGAAAGATTACATATTTTTGGAGCACTGTATCTAGGTCACTCTTAGAACTACAGTGCTGTGTTTGGATTCAAATTGTGGCAATTGTTATCTACTTCGAAAAATGTTGGTTTTTTGTTACCACTCGTACTTAATGGAATCACAAGCGAGCGAAAAAAGAGTGAAAATTTTGGTGTTTTTTGCGAATATCTCGAATCACTCACCAAGAAATGTTGTTCGATAATTTTAGATTCGGATTCAGCACTCCGAAATACGTAGGAAACGATAATAAAACCGACTATTGGAATTCTTGCAAGGTGATAATACCATTCATTGCCTGTATTGAACTAGGCCACACCCACACACAACTCAATATCTGTTGTCAGCTACCTGTTCGCTTCAACTGCTTGTTGCTATCTGTGAAAGCTCCAGCTGCTTAGCATTCACTGTTACCCCAGGTAGTCTTGTGTGCTGCTCTGTATCTTTTGTGAAAAAACTTGGCAGTCTTGAAGGTTTGATTTGAATTGATCCGGCTCGAATGACCAATATGTTTGATGCTTGATGAACAATGAGATAAACATTGATATGAGAATTGCAATACGAATATACCCATGGTATGTAACTTCCCCCTATTAAGAAAATGTCGTTCCACAATTTGCAATTATGTGATGAAAAAACACCTTCGTTCTTCCAATCGACATTCTCCAACTTCTCTCTCGCCGATCTGTCGCTGGCCGTCGATCTCACCACAGTATATTATTTCGTTTTTTTGTTGACATTTTATTATGAGCAAGAAATTCAACTTTTTGGAAAAATTTACATATTTTTGGAGCTGTGTATCTCGCGCACTCTTACAACTACAGTGCTGTGTTTGGATTAAAATTGTGACTTTTTTTTCTAGTCCGAAAAATGTTGTTTTTTGTTATCACTGGTACTTGATGTAATCACAAGCGAGCGAAAAAATAGCGAATATTTTTCTGTTTCTTGCGAATATCTCGAGAAACTCACCAGGAAATTTTGTTGGATAATTTTAGCTCCGAATTCAGCACTCCGAAATACGTAGGAAACGATAATAAAACCGACTATTGGAAGTCTTGCAAGGTGACAATATCATTTGCCTGTATTAAACTAGGCCAAACCCACACACAAATTAATATCTGTTGTCGGCTACCTGTTCGCTCAAACTATCTGTGAAAGCTCCAGCTGCTTAGCATGTACTGTTACTCCAGGTAGTCTCGACTGCTGCTCTGTATCTTTTGTGAAGAACTTGACAGTCTTCAAGGTTCGATTTGAATAGATCCGGCTCGAAGGACCAATATGTTCGATGCTTGATTGAAAATGAAATAGTATTATGAAAATTAAAACATACCTTCGTTCTTCCAATCGATATTCTCCAACTTCTCCCTCGCCGATCTGTCGCTAGCCGTCGACCTCACCGACCCGTACCCGTGGTCCTCCGGCAGATCGCTGTTGAGCAGCTGTTCGTCCACGGCGCTGATGCTGCTGATGTCGCTGATATTCCTCCGGTGCGCCCCGTGTCCGCCCAGCGCCACCTGCGCTTTCAAGTCTTCGTACTGCTGCTCGAGGGCGTGGTGGTCGCGGAGCAGGCGTTGGTAGGCCTCACGGTCGCTGTCCGCCTCGGATTGGAGCATCAGTTTCTCCTCCTCGATGCGCACCTGGAAGGTGATGAGATGGAAGGTTCAGATTCGAATTTACTTTATACTAGAGTGCCTCGAACAACTTATTTTACGCTCTTTAGAGAGTGAGGACCAGATTGTCATGTTGTTGAACTAGATTATCTCAATCATCTCATTTTCATCTCTTTGAAGAGTGAGACCACGCTTGTCATGTTGTTAAACAGCTTATAGTGAAACTATCAAATGTTGGTTCAACCAAATCCTTTCACTATTTGAAATTCATTCAGGATCGACATCTCGCTCCTTCCTCAAAATCTCCCTAGGAGATTAATGGAGATATTGATCTACTCCATGCTGAACTAAAAATATGAGATACGAATATGTTTTATAAGAAATGGAATGTCATCTGCCTTTACCCTTTCATTGAACGAGTACAGACATATTATTATTTGAAACCCTAAGAGTGGCGTAACACCAAAGTCACATAACGCTCATTTTGTAGTTTTATGAACACCATATCATTCAATGAAATTCCACTAGATGAAAATCGGAATTCAACACACACTTTTGAAATGTATTTTCGTCTTTGGGCAACTGAAATAAAGGGTATTTAACTATCTTTCTTCAAATTTTTGCATTACGTTAACGAACAAGACATAAATATACGAGAACATTTTCGCAGATCAGAGGAGGTAGAACTGATAAAAATATACTTCTTATTTAAATAATTCTCATATACAGTGTGACCAACTTCTAATGGAAACACCCCTGTATCTTACGTAATCGTTGGGTAAGGATCCTGAAATTCGCTGGAAGCGAGAGATATACAAAAAATGCACTCTATGACCAAGTGGGGCCATCTTCAGTGATATACACTGTTCGTTAACAGCCATGGAACCACTTCAGTTTCCGGAAAATGATATTTGGAGTCAAAATTGGTCGAAAATCACTCAAGATTCGGAATCAGGACGCCCAACTCACTTAATATTCATATTTTTTCTGGAAAAACTTCAGTTCTGAAAAACTAAATTTTGTCGCACTTTTTAAGGAATCCCCCCGTATCTTACGTAATTGACATTATCTTTGGACTTTCCCTTCCTCCTGGAAATTTCAGAATTCTATCTCAATAATTACGTGAGATACGGGGGTGAGAAGTGAGACAAAATTATTTTTTTTTCAACAGAAAATTTTATAGGAAAACTATGAATAGTTAGTGAATTGGGCGTCCTGATCCTGAATTCTAAATGATTTTCAACCTATTTTGACTCCTAATATAATTTTCCGGAAATTGGGATGGTTCCATGGCTGTTGGCGAGCAGTGTATACAGGGGTGTTTCCATTAGAAATGGGTCACACTGTATATTCTTCTCCGTCAATGTGAGAATAGGTCGTAGAGTTCAACATTTACAGTAAAAAACGAAAGTCGGCTCAAGTCTTTCGATAACTTAAGGTTTCTTATTTGTTCAGATATTCTACATGAGTTTTATCAAATATTAGGCCATACCCTTTAGGGCTGTCCGGCGAAATTCTGGGATATTTGACTTTGACACTGACCTCACACTTTATAACCACCAACTGGTGAGAGTGAATATGTTATCCCTTATTCGGAAATGAAATTGGTGGCAAGCGTGTCCTCACTACGAAATAGTACGGAAATGATAGTCAGTGACGTCAGTCGTGGGCTGTTATAGTTCAAAAACGATACAGTAAGGGCGGCTCTTGAAAATAAATCAAAAAATTGTGTCTGTCTATATCTCGCCGCAACCTTTTACTGCTAAACAACAATGTGTGGATAACAGTGAGCTCAGAATCTTCGACAACCGTCAAACGAGCCGCTAGAATCGTGGACATCCCTATGTTTTCTCATGCAACATTGGGCATTGGGCGTAAGAAGGATTAAAATACATGGAATGTGTTCGATTATAATATGATGGGAGCTTCAAAAAGTCTTGACCCTCTTGCTAAAAACGTAAAAACACATTCAACTGTGGCTGATAGTGATGAGTCTGGGACAAATTACGATCAAACCAGAGATAACAAGTGATGAATACAACATTTTATTCAATATCTAATTATTTTCGATTTTATATGAAAAAAAAACACAACAAAAATACGATATAATAATAAGAAATTCTGTCCATTATATTCGAATGAAATTGAACTTGATATGCAAATTCTTTGATTGTATAAAAAATACCTTCAAGTTCTCCTCTGCCCCCTTCTCGTTCACCCTCACGATCTCGTTGATATTCTGCAGCTCGGCGCGCAGCTTCGCCATCTCGCCGTCCCACCCGTCGCGCTGCGCCTGCGCCTCCGCCCTGTACCTGTCGAACTCGTGCACGACGTCCATCTTGTCGTCGCGCTCCGCTTGGAGCTGCTCCTCCAGCTTGGCCATCGCCTTGTTCTTGTCGATCAGCAGGTTGTTCAGGTTCTTGATCTCGATCTCCATCGCTCGGAACGTCTGCATCTTCGACCTTGACAAAATATTGACCAGTAGGTAGTGACAGATTCTCGGACGTGATTTCACCCAGTATGCCCTTTGTTGCAGCTTTTAGTACTATTGTACTTTTCTAGTACATTTCATACACATTCAGTACGTAAATACAATTAACACAAATCTAGTACAAAAACAAGAACCGAATAGCCCTATGGGATAGCCCAAGCTATTATAGCATACAAGACAATTATTTGGAGAAGATATGTTTTAATTGGAATCCTAATGAAGCCCTCATTGATAAAAAGTCCATAATTTCCAATCAACGGAGATAACATATGATGCTGTTTTTTGAAGAATTGATTTTACTCTGAAGTTTGAGTCATCTATTTCATCATATTGATAGTATGATAGTATTTGATCTCAATCTGTAATCTGATCTGTTCCTTTCCATCTTTTATTTTCGGCTTTTATTAGTTATAATTGTTTCATGACCTACGTATTTCAGAGGTGTTTCAATGTGCTTTATATTATTATTTCAAAATTTTATAAATGAATATGAAGTTTTTCATCAAATGTGTGAATCGTGAATTTTGAAGTGTCATTTTCTCAATTTAGTACAATATACTTGAATTTAGTACAATTTCAGAATGACTTCTAGTACAAATTGAGATTCTGAAACGGCAACACTGAGTATGCCTTGTGCAGGGAAATTATTATGTATATATTTAGATGTTAAAAATGATACCTGAAAGAATCTTTCCGGATTCTTCAATTTGCCTGTATTCCAAAATGAGTGATATACCCAGATAGCACAAGTACGTCCCAAGGACGTCCTGAAGCCGTTTGCTTCGGACATTTCAGACGTCCCGGGGACGTCCATTTTAAGTACGGCGGACGTCTTTAGGACGTTTTGGGGACGTACGATGTTACAAAATCGGAAGTCCCCAGGACATATATTTTTATTACTGAACAGATTTCGATGAAACTGTGATCAGTAATATTTCAAGACATCCTGAATCCAGTGGAGTATATAGAATTTTCATAAAATTCCTGAACATGAATTGGTGGGTTGATTAAACGGCATATTTTTCAAATTTCATTCCTTTATAACTTTTTTATTGATTGACGCATTTCAACGTAATTTACATGTTACCCATTTGAAAATGTCACAAATCCAGTGGTGTAGTCAGATTTTTTCTAAAAAAAATCGCTAGTAATTTTTTTAGACTTTTGACCTTGAAAAATCAGATTAGTTGGCCCTGGAAATGGAGATTTATTCATCATATTTGGTGTCCTAATAGACTTTTTGAATATCTACCTAACAAAAAAAAATCATTCCAATCGGTTGAAAAATGTAAGTTTTATAAGGGTGCTTCCATCTTAAATGGGTCACACTGTATATAGGTGGTTGAAAATACAAATGCATAACGGTTGCGTGAGCCCAAAAGGTAATCACGGTCAGGTGTATTTGCATTGAAAAAAGTCATTTTTCCTCGTTTTTAAACAGGCTACATTTAAGAAGTATACATGTTTGTGCTATACATATGTTTACGCATCTCCAAGTACAACCTTGAAAAATGCTTTAACGCATGACAAATCATTTTTTGACATCATAGTATATTACGTAATATGTTGTTGTAAGAAGCATATATTACCATGAGTGCGTAATTGCTTTAGAACATGGATTACGTACTATACTCTACCTACTGCCATATAGTACATCAAAAAAGTTTGGACAAATAGTCTGAATTATAATTCTTGACAGTTATGTCATCGATGTTGACGTCGATTACGCGATCATGACTGGCGGAATAAACGAAAACTGTGCGATGTGCTTACTGAGGCTGTATCTCGTGTGTTCTTGCCTACTATCTATAGTGGCCCGATAGGTAAAAATAAATACATAGTGATACCCTCCAAAAGGCATTCTGAGTGACATCTTGACATCACGTCCGAAAATCTGTCACTACTTGCCGGTCTGATGAGAATGTCTTTAATTTCAGTCTCTGAAGGAACTTTCAGGTTGAAGTCAGACCGAGTTTTCCATCAAGAGTCCATGATAGAGTATATGATAATGATGAGAATAAGCTACATATTCGCGCTGATTTAGATTCAAAAGGAATGTCGCCCTGTAAACTTTAGTTCTAAATATTTCATAAAAAACACAATTTATCGATCTCCATCGCTCGGAATTTTCGACCTGAGCACCAGTTATTAGCTAGTAACAGAGATGACAATAGGTATTTACATAAGTAGTAGTATACCTATGCAGGTTCTGGCTCACCCTTGCCCCTAATTTCTTCATGTTAATATACCAGCGCGCATGATTCAATGCTCAAACCAGTGAGAAGCGTTGAAAATTAGTGAATAAAAAATCACAAAAACGAGAATCGTGACATTTTCTTCACACCTTCTAACGTTTCTCACGTTTCTTCGATGCTTTGACACATGCGTGGCGCTTCTGACCACTTTTTCCACGTTTTTCCACGTTTGCGCGTTCTGATATTCAACATAAGGAGGATGGGAACTGAGCGAGCCAGAACCCACATAGTTACACTACTGGGGTGGATGCATTCGAAACACAATGTGAGCCATGAACAATGGATGAAGATCGTCACAAAAACGAAAATAAGTTCGACACTTCTGCCATTATGTTACTACTATACTACAAGAGATACAAATTTGGTTGAATGGGGAAAAAGTTGCGCGCTAGGCGGCCAATAAAATAACTGTCAAAAATCTCTGCTAAGTCTCTCAACTGAATAATTGTAAGAAATCTTGTTTCAATTTTGAAATTCCACTGAATGGATCAAAATTAGGTAGGTATAGGTCTATAAGTAGGTAGGTATAGGTAGGGTCCCTTGATGTAAATTGACGTATTTGTCATCTTAACAGGGTACGGACAGATCAACTCTACATATTATATCCAAATGATGATGATAACTTTCGAGTTATTAATTCTTCAACTCCAACATAATCTTTGTGAGGCAGTGAGCACATTTTTTTGAAAGTTTTATACGTTTCACCAAATGGGACTGTTTTTGGGCAGTACCTATCAATAAATGAATTTTGATTTCAGACTAAGCCTTATGGTTGAAAATATGGTAGAAATTTTATGCAGGTATTCTTACTAATGTGCTCATATGTCATGCATGTGTGCTGTATATATTTATGTTGGGAATCATTTTTGCAGTTTTTCATGAACACTTAATATTTCCTGATTGCAGGTATAATTTTTTAAATGGTAGGGCATACGCCTCTTCCTTTAATCCTCCGTTTTAATCAAAACTGTTTATACTAAAATGCATTCAAAAACTTGTGAAGTGGATAATCATTATAGGCACAATGAGAAGGTATAATATGTGATGTCGTATTAGTTTTACCTCGGATATTTTGCTGATGTATTTACCATTTTCCCCATTCGGTCACTTCACTTTCCATGTTGTAAGTTCATTTGCATTTGATGGAAAGCTGACAAATTCAAATTTGCCATCCAACTGATTGATACAGTCTAACGCAGCACATTTTACCATCCTTCCAAAACAGAATTGAGATCAAGTATGAAATTAAAATTTTGTAAGATCTCTTTTAACGCCTATGAATGTGACGTGACAGCAATGGCATGTCAGGGACGCCAATACACGGAACCACAGTCACTAGATGATTAAAAGAGAAAGGAGCTATGATCTGTCCGTACCCTGTCAACAAATACGTCAGTTTGCATCAAGGGACCCTAGGTATAGGTATAATAGCGATGGCGTTGTCATTCTAGTAGAATGGGCGTGTACACCTTAGTAAAACTTTTAACTCAAACCATGTTTATAATGATCCTTTTATACATAAATAATGATTGACGACATAATTCGATCGAAAAATTAACTGGAATGTTTTATTTTTGGACATAAATAATAGCACCTTCTGAAAAACGGACCCTCTTATGACGTAGAAACCTCATCTCGCCATAGTTGAAAGAAAATACCAAACGCCCGACGGAGACTGAGGCAACTGATATATTAATTCTTTCAACTGTGATCTCGCGCTAACTCACTCTGTCAGAAATCATGTATCATTGATCTCTGTCTGGAATAGTCTTGTTTCAGTATTAGGGTTTTGACGTCACAGCATCACCTCGTTTTCAGAGGTCCGAAAAATCGGGGATTTCAATAATTTTTTATAAAACGTAGGGAGCTCACAGCAAAAAACGGTTCGCGGTGGTGAGCTAGTTTGGGTGAGTTCTGACGAATTATGAAATAAAATTTTTTTGTGATATAAGCCCATTGTCTTGCTCCTCGCTCAACCTACGCTACTGGTAAACAAATGTGTGAACATTGACACACAGTTTACAGCGTTGCAATTTTTCAAAGCTATCTCTTTCTGACTTATTTGAAACTTTGGAATTATATATGATAATAAACAAAAAAATCTCCATGAATGAATTGTTATGTCTCCCCCCTTTTTATATGTCTATGGCCTTTATCGATTTTATGACGTTTCGTCTTCGACCAACCATATGGCATGGAGATGTGATTCCTGGATTCGGTAAGCAACACAGCCACAAAAACAAAAACTCACTTCAACTCTTGCACCTCGCTCTGATAGTTCCTCAGCTCGTGATTGGTCTTGTTCACCTCGTCGATCCTCTGCTGCAGGCTGATGATCTTGTTCTCTAGGCCCTTGTTCAGCGTCTTGACGTGCTCAATCGAGCGCGCCTCGATCCTCAATCTCTTGTACTGCTTTCTGGCTAAATAACGCCTGATGGCCGACTGGCACAACACGATCTGCCTGCGTCGCTTCTTCACTTCTTTCCTGGCCAGCCAGCCGCGTACGTGCCTCTGGATTTGGACCGCCTGGAAAGGAAGAAGCCATGTATAATGCTATTAATGCTTTAGTAAACCGGGGTGCAACAGGATAATGGTACACCTACTTCTTCTCCTTCAGTTTTAGAGATAACTGATTGAAATTTGGAATGACCCATCAACTTGATAAACGTCACGTTTTTGATATAAATATGTATGTTCAAATGGAACACCCTGTACATCATTGTACTTTCAAATTTTGCATAATTTTTGGAATCCAATGATACCACATAAGTGACATTTCAATCTGCAATATTGATTTTGATTTCAATTTTGATTTTCTATCTAAGTGAGTCATGACTATGCTGATCGAGTCTGATGTTGTACTCATATCGACAGGTGTGATGCTGAAAATATTTGAATTCTGTCAAGAATGTCAAATTTCTTGATTCGTCACCAAATTAAGTTCATGAAAATGGTTTGGTGTACCATGAACATGTTCTACCGGATATTACTCCAAACGGTTCTGCTTTCTTTTTATCATCTCTTCAATGTGACCGACCACTGGTTTTTTAAAATGACATGATCGTGAGCTCTTTACCAAAAAAAAACTACAAGTAAAAATGATTTTGATTCTTTTCATTTATACCAGGACGATCAAAAAATTAATTGAAATATGTTCATTTCAGAACACACACTTCCTCCGCCATTTGCAATGGAGTCAATTCATTGGTATTGACTAGTGTGACGTATTAATCCCAACACACCTTTCGTACTTGAGCTAACCAATCACACTGCAACACTACAGAATGGCAAGATTTCAGAGTTCAAGACTCCACCTTCCTATCTGGCATTTTGAAATATTAAATAGAATAATCATGCTGATTTCGAAACGCTATTGATACCATTAACCTCAACTCCATAATATTAATTGTAAAATTGTAAATCATGATCCATCGATTGAAAGAGGTTTAGACGGATTTTATTCCTCAGTCTTCCCCTTTATCAAAAAAAAATGTATATCGAGTATTTGGATAAATGTGACATTTAGAATTTCCGGTAAGAAGTTATTTTCAGCACGAAACTCCCTAGGTACATTTGAATTTTTTTTTCTAAATCATAAGGATACTTAATTGTGAAATCCTTTCGAGACATATACTCAAAAAACGTGAACATATGAATGAATGAATTCTCAAAAATTAAAGGAAAAGGGAATCTATTTCACAGAGTTTGTTCGATGTAACCAGTAGTCAACATGATTCAGCATCAACGATCTAGTAATCGAATAGCTGATATATAGAAATATATTCAACAACAGTGAGAAAATGTGCTCTTCAGATTCATCTTACCCCACGTTGGGCGCCAAAATCCAATGAGAGTCTTTGTTTGAGAGGAAATTTATGTGAGAAAAGGTATGCTTACCGCTGCATTGTATTTGAGCTGGATGAACCTCAGTCTAGCCATGTAGCCTCTGGAGTATCGCTGCAGTCCTATCACGCACCGCCTCAGCCTCTGGAACTGTACCATCTTGACCCATCCGCGGACGTATCTCTGGATCGTCTTTGCGGCTCGTTCTCTTCTCAAGCTTTCTGCCAACCTGATATATCGAATATAAAAATGTTCAGTCTGGATGTAAGGCCAATTTTTTTCTGGAGGTGCAATAATGAAAAAAAAAATTAGGAATTGTATGGTCGATGAAACAAAGTCATAATTTCGGAATATGTTGGATGTACATTGGTATTGAAATCACGATTTCAGGTCGAAGGTATCGATTTTTTTCCAAAGGGGTCGAGATAAAATTGTTAGAATTTAGAAACCCTTCGATCCTATACCAATATGAATTGCGAATTTGGAGAAACAACCGCAAGGTTGTATCTCCAAAGATAACTGAGATATTACGCAGAAGCATCGAAAACACTGTACAGGGTGTCCCAAATTGCTTGATTTTTTCAATTTCTCCTATTTCCAGAACAGACAAATGATACGTGATATATTTTTTGGCAGATGTATCTCATTCTACGTTAAAAAGTGCCTATAGACAGTTTTTTCTGTTTAGAAAAATATGACATATTTTCGAAGTCGCGGTCAAATGTCAATTTTCGCCTATATCTCGGAAACGGTTAGAGATATCGAAATGCGGTTTTCGCTTATCTGTTCAAGAAAAAGGAAAAACTGCCAAAATCAAGCAATTTGGGACACCCTGTACATTGATCAAACATGTTAATACGGAGTTGACGGGAAAATTTCCCTCACCTTCTCGCCAACACGCCCCTTCCGTACGTCTGGATCAGCAAAGCGGACCTCTTGATCTTCAAGTACTTCTTCCTCGCCACGAACATCCGCACCGTCTTCTGCATCATGATACAGCACAGCCGCAGCTTGTCCGACCGGAGCTTCTCCAAGTAGGCCACCTGCCCCGCCCGGAAGAAGATCTTCGTCTTGCCGAACTGGTAAACGTCGGAGGTTTTGATGCAGAGGCCGATTATATTCTCGCAGGTTTTCCGCATGTCGTCTTTCCTGATGGAATAATAAGTTGGTAGCGATGAATCAACTCCTCCATAGAAAACACCATTTGACGGTGAAGTGACTCATTTTGACACGCAAAAATGTTTTTAATTATATGTGATACCACAAGAGATATATTTTGACAATAATATTGGGCAATTTTTGTTACGGCAGCAATAGGAGATATCGTTGTGACTAGATGACCCCACGTTGGGCGCCAAAATCTAAAAATGTTTATTTCGAACTGGAGTGAATGAATCAACTCCTCCATAAAAAACAACAATTGATGATAAACGTGATTCATTTCGACATCGACAAAAAACGTGCATCAGATGTAGTATCACAAGAGATATATTTTGCCAGAAATATTCGGTAATTGTTACGAGAGTTCGTTACCTACTATGTTCGGGAGGAGATATCAGTTTGAATAGTTTACTCCGCGTTTGGCGCCAAGATCTAAGTGTTTATTTTGAATTGGGGTGAATCCATCAACTTCTCCTTGGAAAAGACTATTTGGTGATTATGTCAGTAATATTGACATCTATGAGAAATGTGCGACTTTTTTCATTATAATTATGTTACACCACAAGTGATACACTATTTAACCAGAAATATTCGACGATTGTTACGACAGCTTATTGTCTAGAAATTTCGAGAATGACATTTTCTTATCAATACTAGTTTTGAGAAAACACCATTTAACGATGAACGTGAGTCATTTTGTTATCTATTAAAAATGAGCAACTTCTTCATCCTATTTGATACCACAAATTATACTATTTTGCCTGAAATTTCGACAATTTTTGCGACAGCTCATTGCCTAGTAATTTCGCGAATGACATTTTTTTATTAAGACTGTCAAGTCGTAGAACGTCTTCTGCATCGTAATGCAATACAGCGCCAACTTGTTCGACATGAGCTCCTCCAAGCAGGCCACCTGCCAAACTGGTACACGTCGGAGGTTTTGATGCAGAGGCCGATGATGTTCTCGCAGATTTTACGCATGTCCTATTTCCTGGTGAAATTATCAGTAGAGAAAAATCAACTCCATAGAATTTTGACATCGATACAAAAGTTGCAACTTTCCTCATCATACACGATAATGTAAAGATATATTTTGTCGAAAATATTCGTGATTTTTATGACAGCTTGTTGCCTAGTAATTTCGCGAGGAAATCTGTGCGAATGATTGACCCCGCGTTGGGCGCCAAAATCCAAAAATAGTTATTTATGTACGACGAAGAAGACGAAGACGAAAAATTGTATATATAGTTGAGCCTGCCAATTGATAGCAGAGGCCCAGCCAGGTGCATATTAAATTTTTTCGTCGACCTCGAACATCACGGTCTCCTTCACACGTGAAATCTATCGGATTTCATGAATAATGCCTTAAAAAAAGTTGATTTTTCATTCGAAAATTATTATGAAATATAGATAGATAATTTATACATTGACTTTCTAGAAAACTGCAAATAGTAACTGACGTCACAATTTCATAAGTAGGGGCAGACAATAGCATAGTTGCCATAATTATGATGAAATAAGATTGGTAACATTAAAAATATTATTCATTTAATAATTCATGAATCATCAATTATGTATTAGTAATATTCTCAAACGGCAATAAAAACTCATTATCTTAAAATATTCCCTCTTATGTCTTGTGACCTTTTATATCATAATGATTTTGTGTGAATAATAATTATATTAATTCATACTGGAGGACATTTGGTCCGGTGAACGTGACAACACGGCACGGATTGTGGTCATTGTCTTGTCAGTTCTTAGAATTCAGCACATGTTGCCAAGACTCTAGCCAATTTTACATGATATTTTGTTATGGGGTACGAGAAGTATTTTGACAAGCTGGGTGGTCGAAAAAGTTAAAAATGAATAACTAGAATATCATTGCTTCCTCCTATTATGTCAGATGGAATATTTAACTTGAATGTAGTTTCATTCAACGATAGGCCTCTTACATATTTTCAATAACTTGATTGGTGACTTGTCGACCTTGAAAGATTATCTGATCATTATAAAAAACGGGTGCGTAGCGCGATTCCCAATTCCCACGATGCCCAATTCCCACCATGCCCACCTTCATGTCGACGATTGCATGAAGGTGGGCATCGTAGAAATCAAACATCGTGGGAATCGTGGGATGCTCCCAATGAAACAACGCATATAGACACATTATTGACATCAAAAACGCGTAAGACGTTCTGCAAAAATGAATTCATGTCCCCAAGGACACAGTGGAGTAATTGAATGCCAATTATTTACTATCAGTCCAGCATCCTGTTCGCTCACCTGATGTCCTTGAACTTGCACAGCACCCTGTATCTGTAGAAGAAGTCGACGTACGTCCAACGGCTCGGGAACCCGGCCGACGACAGCCGAATCGTCTCGAGCACGCCGCAAGCCCGCAGTTGCTGTACCGCCCTTTTCGCGTTGTACTCGAAGGGCGTCTTCGAGTCGTTCGGCTTGATGCAGCGCACGTAGTGGGGGGTCGTAGCGTTCAGGGTGGACATGAGCATGTTGAGCGAGTCCCTAAACTGAGGGAAATTTTCATTTCTTTTTGTTGACCAACTGTGGCGATCCATCTTACAGTGGAGTGTAGGCAATAGGACAGGGCGAATATTCATACAGTCTACAGTCTGTATAATATTTCTTTGCGTGTGACTGAAATTAGCATAGACCTACGCGCAACTTGCTATCCTCTTCAGACTTGCATATAGAGGAGCAAGGCCTATCATGACGTTTGGTGATATAAGTTACGACATCGTTTTTGAATTCAACGGATTAAAAGCTTGAATACAGAGGTTTTCGTATGTCGAGGCACATTTGAATCGGATGATTCAGAGGCGTGCAGTAGGTGCTGAAATGACATCGTTTTGCGTGGCCATTGGCAAGGTGATCGACCGTTGAGGGCGCTGTATCAAAAACAAGATGGCGGCGTTATCAGGGCACTTTGTTTACATATTTTGTGTGTTTTGCATACATTTTATTTCCTGCTATTCAATCGTGTTAATTCTGTTAAATCTCGAAGTTATCACAGAAAATATCAAAAATCATTGTTGAATCATCATTACATCGTGTGTGTGATTGACATAATACTGTCTTACGGATAGTATTACAGCTACAAAGTAGCCTTTCATCAAACCTGTGACATTCTGTAGGATAACAAAATGACCCTACCATTTCAACTATCGGTGAATTAGAAAGAAGCAGATATATTTGCAATGGCAATGGACAATCTCAGCACAAAAACTGACCAAAAGCGCTGTGCATGTTAACACTTCACTCAGCTCTGGACTCAGCTTGTGCCTCAGATCCATCATACATTCCATACCAAGACCAGGAGATATTTCATACGACCACAACATACTTATAGCTGCAGCTCCAGGGAAGCCATTTCAAGCCAATATGAAGAAATAAACATTCCAACTCACAGAAGTTTCAAGTTTATCAGTGATATGGGAATTATATCTCTCACAACAAAATGAAATAGTAGAAGGTTCCAATGGGTAAATCTAGGACCTATAATGTCTTTTAAAATGAATTTCCTGCACTTAAGAAGTATTTTCTGATGATAAAAAATCAGTTCTGTTGAATGGAAGAAATGAATAAACGTTGAGAATTGAATATGAATTTGAAAACTAGATGATGGCAGCTCCAACAAAAACTTACTACCTTTCTCCACTTCATTGGTCCAATAATGGAAACATTAATAAAAACTCACTTCACTTGTGTGAATGAACTAGTACTTATTTAATTATGTAAAATCTGCTTTGATAAAATTTTTAAAATTACAATTTAATTAAATATTGATCATCGCAACAAGCTTTTATGATCATATAAATTGTGTATAATGAGGTTATAATAGTTGATTGTTAAAATTATTAACAAAAATTTCATTTTCTTCTTTTTTGAGCGTTTGAATAAAAGCTTTTTATTAAAAAGTTTTATTTTACTCTTAATTTATTTTTTAATTTTTAGTTATCGCTAGCTGAATTTTTCGATTTACTTTCAACGAGCCCTTTCATTTGATACCCATATTGTAGTATGTAGTAAGTATATTGAAAATGACCATTCCGCCATCTTGGATGGTCCGCCATAATGGATTTAGAATGACGTCACATCATTTTTCGAGTTACTCTCAACGAGCCTTTTTATTTGATACCCATATTGTAGAAGTATATTAAAAATAGCCATTCCGCCATCTTGGATGGTCCGCCATATTGGATTTAGAATAACGTCACATTATTTCTCCAATTACTCTCAACGAGCCCTTCCATTTGATACCCATATTGTAGAAGTAGATTAAAAATGACTATTCCGCCATCTTGGATGGTCCGCCATATTCGATTCAGAATAACGTCACATCATTCTTTGAGTTACTCTCAACGAGCCTTTTCATTTGATACCCATATTGTAAAAGTATATCAAAAATAGCTATTTCGCCATCTTGGTTATTAGTCCGCCATATTGGATTTAGAATAACGTGACACACCTCACCGTGCATTGTTATCCAAACTGAACGTGTATACAAAATTTCAGCTCAATCGCTTGAAGATTTCTACTTCAAAATTGAGTTCAAAGATTCCACCCGAACATACATACATACATACAAACATACAATGCTAGTTAAATAGAAGCCCTAAAGAAATTGAGTACGCCACTGAATTCTTCGCAAAATTCTCTGTTAGACTTAGTATTCGTAGTAACTCAGCACAACCTTATTTCTAGTAACTTCGTAGAGGAGCCTGGCAGTCTAAACCAAAATGTACATTTAAATCTGAAACACCCTGTATGTCTCCTTGTGCATTTTACACTCTTCGAGCAATTTGCTAGATTTTTTCACTACTTCTGACTGTTAAACTGTTAATATCGTTCAAATCACTAGAGATTTTCGTGGAAATAATATTTTTAGCTTGTGTTTAATTTTTTCAAATCGTTAAGAGTTTCGGAAATAATAGTGCCAGTATAACCCTGTTCAATTCTTCATCTTATATCTTGTATAATATATATCTGTTCCCCCTGTATAATTTCATTATCGTCATTAGTCATAGATAAATCATTTGTTCGAAGATAAATCAGTTAGCAGCATGATTCAAGCTATTAGTCATTCATTCGAGACCAGGTGGTGAATCAAGACAGTCTTCTATCAGATGTCATCACGAACGGTCGAATTTTATGATCGCAATTGAAAAATACGCGAAAGGAATTATTTATCGTTCCAAACGGAGTGTTCACTTAAAAATGAGTACAAGTGTAGTGTTTTTGTATCCCTCATTCACTTCAGTGATTACATTATCGCGATCGTGTGCTGTTCTGGTGTTTCGTGTTGTTTCATCAAAGCTTCGCATTTTTCACGCTGGTAAGTGAATATAGAGATTCTCTGTCAACTCAATTACCTTATCTGTTTTCAAAATAAGATACGTCTGTTCGTTGAACGTTGAATACTTTCAAGATAATAATTCGAAACGAGCAAACCAGAAGAAAATAAGACGATACAGGGTGTTTCAGATTTGAATGTACAGTCATCTTCAGAAAACATGTCGCACATGGACGATGATAGCATTCTTGATAACTCCTGCAATAAGAGCGCTGACACCGTCCAACCGCGACATGATCTCTGAAGACGACTGTACATACTAACCCTGTAGATAGAGGAAACTTTGGTTCTTCCAACCACTCCCTAATATGGATGTGTCTCCCATCATTTACTGGATCTTTTTTATTCAATATAATATACAGGGTATGTCACGTCGAGCTTACACTATCTTTATATCGAGAATCAGTCGGGAGAAATCCATGAAAATGTGCATGCTTATATTTCAGAATACGCTCTCTTCATGCAAAATATTTTCGACAATGCAGTGTTGCCGCTTCAACTAGAAAGTAGTAGCAACATCGATAATTCAAATGGAATACCCTGTAATACATCGCATTTTTAGATTCTGCCTAGAGAGCTGATTCCATCAATATATTACACTTGGGGTCTATCAAGAATGATAACAGAGATATGGGGTGTTCAAATTCGAGATTTTTCAACTTTAGGATTTTTTTGGGTCGTAACTACAAAACGGCTCACATGTCCCTATCTCAACTTTTGATTCAGTATTGACTGATATTTGATCGGAACAGATACAGGCCCAACCAACACAGATACATCTCTGAGATATCGCTGCGATGTCACTTCGTGGCATGCGACTTGCATCGTTACGTCTCACGGACGTCCCAGCTTCTCACTTTTGTCACACTCATGATGCATGCTTGCGACGTCTATGCTATGTTGTTCTGAGATGTAGTAAGGAAGTCGCCTAATAATGTATCAGGGATGTAGCACAGCGACTTAGCAGCGATGTAACACAGAGACTTAGCAGCGATATATTTACTGTTATATTCAAGAGACGTCAACGTCTATGCGATTTTCCAAAAACAAACAACAAATAGATAAACAAAATATATTTCCGCTAAGGAACATGTGAGCCGTTTTGGCCGATAATGAATAGTTTCGACACAAACAAAGCCTAAAGTTGAAAAATTCTCGATTTTGAACACCCTTTATCTCTGTAATCATTTCCGATAGGCCTGAAGTGTGATATGCATTGATGAAATCAGCTCTTCTGGGAGAATAAAAATACAGGGTATTCTATTTGGAATAACAAAGTTGTTGCTACTTTTTTATCAAAGCGGCAACACTGCATTGCTGAAAATATTTTAAATGGAGAGAGCGTATTCTAAAATATAAGCATGCATATTTTCATGAATTTCTCCGAATGATTCTCGATATACAGATAGTGTAAGCTCGTCGTGACGTACCCTGTATAGTATATCAGACATAATAATCGTTAAAGTAAAACTTGGAAACTCCATGGCCCACTAGCAAAAATTCATCATATTCTGATGTTCGAGTGTTTTTAGGATTTCTGGAAATCCTATGTATAAAGTTTTATGCGTCATTTTGAATGGAAACAAATAACGGATTCAACCTCGGATTCAACTAAATAATAAAATACATGTCATATCTCCAAAATCATAACCCCTAAAGACATTGAGTACGCCACTGAATTCTTCGCAAAATTATCTGTTAGACTCAGTATTCGTAATAACTCAGCACAACCTTATTTCTAGTAACTTCGTAGAGGAGCCTGGCAGTCTAAACCAAAATGTACATTTAAATCTGAAACACCCTGTATGTCTCCTTGTGCATTTTACACTTTTCGAGCAATTTGCTAGATTTTTTCACTACTTTTGACTGTTAATATCTTTCAAATCACTAGAGATTTTCGTGAAAATTATATTTTTAGCCTGTGTTTAATTTTTTCAAATCGTTAGAGTTTCGAAAATAATAGTGCCAGTATATCCGTGTTCAATTCTTCATCTTTTACCCCTGTATAATTTTATTATCGTCATTAGTCATAGATAAATCATTTGTTCGGAGATAAATCAGTTAGCAGCATGATTCAAGCTATTAGTCATTCATTCGAGACCAGGTGGTGAATCAAGACAGTCTTATATTAGATGTCATCACGTTCGGTCGACTTTT